GACATGCCGAAATTGAAGCCAATTTAGTATTCCCCACGGGTGAAAAGGTCCATTGAGGCGGGGCCCCCGCAAGTTTTGACTCCAGCAACAACAACACTGGTGATGAAGATGGGTTGCTTAAAGAGAGGCAATGTCCATCGACTATGAAGAATGGTTCGACCATCATCATCCAAAGCTCAAATCTTTTAATATTCTCTCCCAGGAGGCCTTTTATTCAGTTCAACGATGACCAACGCCAACGTTGATCCGCAGGTTTCAGATCAGACCAGCAAGATGTCGCCCGACCAGACTTCTCATGTCGAAGACAATGCCCCCTCCTTTGGAGTAGGTGATGCCGAAAAGAACAGCATGAAACAAGGTCAATCTGGGTTGACTACTTGGACCCCTGAAGAGGAAACCAAGGCTGTCCGGAAACTGGACTGGTGCTTGATTCCCTTGTAAGACCCCCATGAGCTAAGCTTCACGTAACGAATATTAGCAACAAATAAATTAACCAATACATAGGCTCGGCCTCCTTTACATGGTGTCATACATTGACCGAGGAAATATTGGGAATGCATACACTGCCGGAATGGGCTCGGAATGGGGCATTACCTCCGATCAATACTCCTGGCTTGTCACTAACTACTATATCGGGTACATTGTCTTCCATTGGGTAAGTAATCTTCTAAAATTGATGGATATATAAAGCTCATAAAGCATTAACTAACATAATCTGGTAAACTCTTCAGCTTATCCTCGTATGGAAGTTTGTCCCTATCAGACTGTGGACTGCATGCATGGCATTTGGATGGGGTCTGGTCAGCATGATACAAGCAGGTGCCACCAGTTTCGGCGGCCTCATGGCAACAAGATTCCTCATCGGGGCCTTTGAGGCGGGCTTTGTACCTGCTGTTGCCCTTTACATGACTTTCTTCTATCACCGTCGGGAGATGGGCCTGAGATACGGACTCTTCATTTCATTCTCACCCTTGGCAAATTGTTTTGCCTCTGCCCTGGCCTATGGGATCGTCCATGCGAAGACGAGTATCGCTGAATGGCAACTCTTATTCATTGTTGGTATGTTGACCGGTTAAAGCTTGCTTTGAGGATGAAAAAGCTAACCAAGGGGATGATGAACAGAGGGAATCCCGACACTTTTCCTGGCTGTGGCCGCCTACCTTTACCTTCCAGCTTCACCAAGCCAATGCGTATATCTTGATGAGCGTCAGAATGCAATCATTGCTGCACGTGCCATCAAGGGCCGTGGACAAGACCAGCAGGGGAAGCTCAACTTCAGCCAAGTATTCGCCGCCTTCTACGACTACAAGAACTACCTTCAAGCCATCATCATCTTCTGCCTCAACACCGCGTTCGGCTCTTTGCCTGCCTACCTACCCACCATCCTGACTTCTATGGGGTTCACGTCGCTGCGTGCCCAGGGTCTGTCTGCCTGCCCTTACCTTTCCGCCTTCTTCATTTGCATCCTCAGTAGCTTCATGTCTGACCGCGTCCGCACCCGAGGCATCTTCGTTGTCTTATTCAGCTGTGCTGGAGCAGCCGGCTACATCATCCTCGCCACAGTCGAGACTACTGGCGTCCGTTACTTCGCCACCTTCCTTGTCTGTGCTGGAGTCTTCCCTGCCGTTGCGCTGACGTTCACCTGGGTCACGGACAACCAAGGATCCGCCTCTAAGCGTGGTGCCGGGCTCGCCATCTTCGGTATGGTAGGCCAGTGTGGTCCCATACTCGGCGCCCGGCTGTTCCCAAAGAACGAGGGCCCGTACTATGAGAAAGGAATGTGGATTTGCTGCGGTGTGCTGCTGTTCGCCGCACTGGTTGCCTTGGCTCTCAGCCTCAGTTTACGCTGGCAGAATAAGCAGCGCGACAGCAAGCATGGGAAGAGCGATATCGACCATGTTCCGGAGGATATTGCTGATATTGGTGATGCGCACCCCATGTACCGCTATGTACCTTGATCAATGTTTGTTATTTGGACTGCTGGGCCGCCGTGGGACTTTTGATTCTCCTTAGAGAGTATCCTCTTTGAAGAACATAAGAAGATTGATATAGAAAGAAAATTTTGAGACTGCATATCGGGTCTTGCATCTTCCACTTCGCAGTCAAACTCTCACCTGCATGTTTGATTGCTAAGTAGACCGCCTTGATGGATATTAAGAGAACGGCTGTCTGAGCCTCTAAAATTAAAAACCTTTCATTACTTAAGTTCATTCAAACCTCTTTCCTTTCTGATTCGTAGCTAGACGTACACTTTTTGCTCTTAGGTGGGAGAAACTGTCTTAATAATACATTATGGACTAAAAACTACCCCAAGCTTGATCACCAAATGTAGACATATTCGACGACCTGTGCAGATTATCTGTGCCAGACCAAGATATGACTTCAGGATGGAAGCCAGCTCCAGTGTCCGTCCACGCTGACCCAACATCGTCAAAGTCGCCAAACAAGTTTGTCGAAGCAAACATGGGGTAGGGATCTGCCACTTCACGAACCGAAGTCAGATCAGGAGCTTCAGGACTGACTGGCTGTGCATTTCCCGCACTGCTCAGTATTTGAGCCGGCTGAGTTCTTCTCGTAGGAGTAGAAGAAATGGTGTGTTCATTTGTACTGTCTTTCCTCAGGGCTTTATGCTGGTCTGCACGCAACAGCCGCCGAATGGTATCAAGGCTCCGGCCGACGCCAGGAGTATGCGCAGCTTCGTCTTGGAGAACTTTCACGGCTACCGTGAGCCTTTTGGCGGCGGCGTTTCGTCTCTCTGATGTCGGCGCAGTTTGGAGCTCTTGGACCTCTATACTAGCTGCAATGAAAATGCAGTAGCTGACCTGGTACGTCATGAGGCGATCAGGGAATGTTCTTGCGTATAATCCATGTATTGCATTGATCTGCACGGAGTAGGTGATGCAGTCATTCATATGCTGATCCCGTTGATGAGAATCCGATGAGCTGAGATATGGTCGACGGAGGAGGATTCGAAGCGCGTGATACAGAAGACTAGAGAATGTAAGTACCTGTATTCAGGGAGATCGAAGGGGATGACTCTCACTTGATAGAAACGACATGAGGTGGTGGGCTTTGATTAAGATTCTCTGGCTCTGTAATCTTGAGAATCTGTGGCAGGTCATTGTACCAGGATTGCAGCCTTTTGTCTAGGTCATTAATCTGTGTTGAAAACCGTTCAGGGATTGGAAGATTTGAGAATAGAAGCATCATATCTGCGGTAATCTCGTGTATTCTGCAAAAGGCACAGAAGGTACTGGTATTCATCGACGGGCAGGGCAGATACACTTCAGGGATCTGAAATGTGAGAATGGGTGCCCAAGGCCTGTCATCATCAAACTTATCCAAGATTTCATGAGCTTCGTATGGCCGTCGTATAAGGGATGGCGGGCGGCCCAGCGCGAGGCTCAATGTCTTATCCCAAATATACGCTGAGTTATAGAGGCGCTTTCTCATCTCTGTCTCAGAGGGAGTCCATCGTTCCAACTGGGCAAGTTTTGTCGTGTCAAGGTGAAGTCCAATATCGGTCATCATGCGCAAGGCCATTCCTGTGTAGAGCCAACCTTCAGAACTCTTCCCCATGGCGCACTGCCGTCCTCCTAGGATAAGGAGACCTTGAATGGTTGGGATCGAGGGTTTTGCGGCAGCCATTTCGTCGAGAAGCAACTGTTTAGCTTCCGATATGTAAATCTCCCCCTTGCCGACGCCGCTAAACCCAGGGTGTTCCTCCGGGAGATGCCGAGCAACAAGCCCAAAGATACACATGAGCAAGAACTTGGAGCAGTTGGGACCCCCAAGAGCCAGGTCCATTATCAAGGCCGGTCGGTAGACACAATTGTGCAGAGGATGTAGCCAAGTCCAGTATATATCGAGCAGTGCTAGCCCAGCTTCTGTAGGCACACTGGTCCCTCCGAGATATTGCTTGGTCGAGATGAGAGGCATCCAGACAGAGTCCATGATGGTATACTGGGACATGAGTGCATCAACTTGAGGCGAAGTCTCATCCCCCTGTAAAATTCCAGGCCCTTCATCTAGGGAACCAGCATGAAAGCGACTGGTTGGTCCGTTGTAGATAATAGTCCCATCGTCTCCGACACCCACCTGGAACCAAAGCGACGGCGTTGCCATGTCGCGATTGGTAGAAGAAGAGGTTGTACCGACATCTCTACTCCCATTGGGGCTTGCATCGGCATTCTGCTGGGCGGGAGTGTTGATCGAGGCTACCTCGGTGAGCTGCTCTCCTCGGCTTCCACTGCCTAACGACTCTGTCCGATCTGGAGCGCGGGCATCAGCAGATTGGAGACTCGAGGCCCGAGGCGGCCAGGCGCACAGCTCCCCGGAGCGCCTACAACCCCGGCAGGTTGGCTGGTCTCCGCTGCATTTGACCTTGCGAGACTTGCAGCTCAGACAGGCGAAGCCGTATCGTCGCACCCTCCGTGTCCTCGGCATTGGGGTTCGGCTTTTCTCGGCCGCCGTGGCTGCTGTGTCGCCAACATCGCCATCAGAGCTTGGAGGACTCATGCCATCGGATATTGGCGGCTATCATTTGGAGATGGCGTACCGCGACGTTTCGTTAAGTAGGTAGGAGAGATTCAAGGTTGAAGTTCAATTGCGCGAGTCTTGTCACTACCTAGATATAGATGACTAATCATACCATAGTGCGCCCCAACTTCTTTTGACTACCCTATATGTAGAGAGGCGTGCCGACTGCGACGGCGACAATGGAAGTGCAAGATGGAGGAGGAATAATTCGTATTTGCGTATTGGTAACCTGAGTGCTCTGATTCGTCATTGGTCCAATTTAAAATTGGAAAATTACATGTTTCACATCAGCTGTGAAAATGTGAGGCGGATGTTTTCTTATTCGACCGTTGAAACCCCGCTTTGTTCCAGGCTTCCACCTCAGCCGTTCACTCCCTCCTGGCTTGATCAATCAAGTCTCTCTCATCTTTCATCACTACATAGTCGAAGTCGGGGTTTTCTATCCCTGGCCACCTGTATCGATGGGATACTTGGAGAGGATATGCCAAATATGTGGCGTGAGCTTCAATATCAGCCGTTATCCCACGAGAGAGGAGGTTTTCGCTGGCCTCCCCTGGCGACCGTGGCTGGAAGGGGCCACGCATGATTACAGGCACAAGTACGAGTGCATGCGTGGAGGATGCCAAGTGATCAATACCTGGCAGGCAGAATTGGACCATTCCGATGACGGCAGACAAGACTTTGAGGACCATCCCGACTGGGGTAGTGACCGGCTCCATTTCGGCGAGGATGGTTGTTATCAGTCCGAGACCGAGTTCGTTGAGGAGACGTATGAGTACGATACGCCAAACGAGAGTGAGGAAGAAGCCTCCATCGGAGCGCCCGAGACCACAACCGACACAGTGGATGCCGCTGATCCTGAACCAGCCGACGACTCACTATACTCGGCATTTCTCGACTCTTTGCCCCTCAGAAAACCGGGTCGTTCCTACTTTTGGGCTAGGCACATGAGATATATCCATGAGAATGTCTCCTCGGAAGACGATAGGCTGTGGATGGATTACCAGCATGTCAGCGGGCCTGGCTGCCGCAACACAGGCGCATATAACGGCTTCTTGTTATCCGCCGACGAAGCCCGTGGATGCTCCACGCTTCAATGTCTTGTCCCAAAATCTCCCTCCTCAGATACTTTCACAGCGGAGAGGATGGACGAAGAGTTTGAGAAATCAAGCGGTTTCTTCCTGAGTGGGCTTTGTGATAGGGTACCCAGCTTGGATGACCAACTGCCCGCAGCGTACCCTCCTCGACATAATGCCGGAAGACCACTGGCCGCTAACTTCCTAGTTCATGAGGAGGTGACCCCGAGATTAGCGATATCTTTTCATCCAACCTGTTTGGAAATTTTCAAGCGAGCTTGTCTTCATCGGTATGGGGAGGTCCAAATTCAGGCGTTGACTGACTGGGTCTCCCTCGAGGCAACCATTAATGTGATGCTTCACGAGTTCCCACGAGACGAGGCAGTACGAAAGGGTAGTTCACAGTACTGGGATCACTGGCCAGGGGATGAATTTTTGGCCGCCAATCCGTGTTTCATTCCCACCCTGGAATCATATTTGGACACCGCGATGGCAAGGGGATTAGCCATCACCGATCTCCACGAGGTTGCTGTTCCTATTGGAGATTTTGACAGTACCTCGGTTGGAAAGGACTGTTTCTCCAAGCTTCCATTCGAGATTCGTCTTGAGATTTTAGCTCACATGGAGCCTGGCGATCTTGCTAATCTTCGACTTGCATCTAAAGCTTTCAGAACCCTGCCTCAGTATTTATTCCGAAACCTGCTTCAGAAGAACTTTCCTTGGGTTTATGAAGCCTGGTGTACACATCCATACTCATTCTGGGCTACCAGAGAGGCCCGGGATGTGAGGAAAATAGATGATGACTGGCAGAAAGAGCGAGAACTCCTGGAGACAAGGATCCAAATCTTGAAGGAGGAGGCACTGCCGGATTCGAACAACGAGGATGCGATTGCGGGAATCAGAGAAATCCTGAAACAAAAAGAAGTCGAGTATGAAAACATCTTCCAGTCCCAACCAGCAACCAATCTTTCCGTTTCCAGGACTGATTGGTTCCGTCTCTTTTGCGATATATCCAAGAACCGACGACGAATCAACGGCCTAAGAAATCGTGAACGAATCTGGAAGGACTGCAATGAGATGCTCGACCGGGTGGAACGTCACCGCGCTGAGGGGAGGCTGGGGACTGAAATGACGGACACTGAGCGACGAATGCAGACGTTGGACAAGTACGGTCGTCCAGAGCGATTCGGACTGCAGGTTCCGGAGGAATGAGCGGATCGTGGGCCGCATCCTGCGTTCATGGTCTCTTTTTCCTATGTCTTTCCTTAGTATCTACACGCAAAACATTATGGGGGAAATCAAAATTGACCGCAGTTATCCCTGTGTGACATTGGCACTGGGGTTTGAATGGTTATATATGAAGCAAAACGAAAAGTTCTGGATGGAATTTGACACCTAATGGAGACTAGTATGTTGGAGGAATTGATGGAAGCTGATTTTGATAATTTATTCATACAATAAAAAGCAGTCATATGAAGAGTTCCTCCGTTGTAGAGTTACTGCCATTGCCCTGGTTGGATCATGGACTACAACTACCTAGGTTGATACAGAGGCCTGCCGGATCTGATGAAAACCTACGAAGGCGCTACAATTGCAGGATCTATACAACCTAATAGGAGCATTGTAGAGTGAACGGTTTTTGGGCGCATTGTTAGTAACTAGGCTGAGGAAAATTACGTAGCTAGTATTATCACCCTGTTGGGAGAAACATCCCTCGTCCAATTTCGTATCAGGATCACTAACCCAGTCTGAGCTTTTGGAGGATGAATAGCCAATTGCACCTATGCATTTGAAATTCGCGCACAATTTGTTGTTGTGCTTGACTACTCCCCGAGTTGCCGTAGGCAGCGCGGCCCACCGTTAATCCTCCGCGGTTGTGCAGGGGCCTCCTGGGGCAAAATCCACGGAGTCCGGAATCCCAGCGTGGGGAAATTGACCAGAAAACGCGGCTTTCATGTTTGCCAAGCCCGTAATGTGGCTCTCTTGTGGAGAGCTGGTCTGGATGGGTTTGTGAATAGAGTCGGCACGAGGTTACAACTCGCAATCGAAGGAGCTGACGTATATCCATCCCGAGGATCTTAACTCGCACTCGGTTTTCAATCATACTCCTGGCCAAGGAGGCTATGCTCTCTGAATCAGGTGGATCCTTATGCAGAGAAGTTGTGAAATTAAGTAGATATAAAACGTTTTGTAAGCTCTGGTGTTGATTTTGACTGCAGGATATTTCTACAGATACTTTGGGTTATCATACTAGTTTTTCGGTATACAATTAGCACGCCCAGAATTTGAAGTCGGCATGATGGTAACGCTACGACGGCTTTTGATCTTCGTTCTTAATTTCTCTCATATCACACAGGCGGAAGATGACCTTCCAGCTTCGTTTGGACCTCCCGCGGGGTCAGACCCTATCACCTGGGGGTTCTATGGAACACAAGAGATGTGCGAGCCAACGCAGCTGCAAATTGAAGGCCACTTTCCACCTTGGCTGACTGGTTCACTGTACCGTGGTGGCGCAGGAACCTGGGATGTGGGCAATTACACAGCTGAACACTGGTTTGACGGCTTCAGCCGTAATCATCGGTTCGAAATTGCCAATGGGGGGGTATCATACCGCAGCCGTAACGGGTCTGATGAGATAATGGACTTCGTCCGCGAAACAGGCCGGTATCCGGAGAAGAGTTTTGGAAGCGACCCTTGCAAGATAATCTTTGGCGCCTTCGAAGCTACCTTCAGAGATGGAATCTCTCAACACGGGAACAAGAGCTCCATGAACGTTGCTGTTTCTTACGCTCCAAACTTTCCCGGAATAATTGGAAATTCTGCTGATGGAAATGTTCCTTTCAAGACACTTGTTAGCACAACAGATGCTAACGGACTTCAACAAATCGACCCTGATACATTGGAGCCTATTGAAGTATTCACCTACCAGGCTTCACATGCTCTACTGGTTAATGGAGGCCACTCAGCAGCCCATCCTGTCCACACTCCAGACGGATCCTTGTACAACTATGTGCTTGACCTAAGCTCAAGCCCTCCAGTTTACCGTGTTTTCGGTATCCATCCTCCTTCAGGAGGAACCCAAATCCTCGCAAACATCACCGATGCACCCCCGGCTTATATTCACTCTCTTTTCGGCACCGAGAAACACATTGTACTGATCATCTGGCAAGCCGATTTCACTCAAGAAGCCAACAATATCGTTGACAGTATTGGGTCTTGGGACCCGGAGAGAAAGGCCCTCTTCTACGTTATCAACCGCGCTCATGGGGGCATCGTTGGTAAATATGAAGCTCCTGATGCTTTCTTTGCATTTCATCAGATCAACTCATTTGAAGACAAGGCCGGAAACATTTTTGTTGATCTGCCCCGGATGAATGACACGAGCTTCTTGAGTGCTGCTCGCATCCCGAATCTGAGGGCTAATCTCGGAACACCAAACGCGACATCGAAAAATGACTTGGCCGGTTCTTTCACGCGTTACCGGTTACCACGGTTGTGTCACCCTCCCCAAAGCGGTAACGGCACCTTGGAAACCACTCCGGCCAGAATCGAGTTCTCGCTCCCATATGCAGAAGCTAACATTGAGCTTCCCCGCATCAATCCCGCAAGGGATGGTAAACCTTACCGATTCTCATACGGGATTCATGTTCAGAAAGCCGGTAACTTTGCGGATTCGATTATTAAAATCGATGCCGAAAAGAGACGGTGGGAGGTGTGGGCGCCGGAGACAAAGCATTTACCTTCAGAGCCAATCTTCGTCTCAAAGCCCAATTCTACCTCTGAGGATGATGGGGTCCTGTTGACAGTGACTATGGATTCGAAGTCTAAGCGCAGTTCATTAGTTGTCATTGATGCCAAGACCATGAAAGAGTTGGGCCGGGCAAGGATGCCGATTGTGATGGGTTACGGTTTCCACGGCGTTTGGGGCCAGGCTTCCTAAGGAACTTCCCTAGACTTCAAACAGGTTGGTAGTTAGTTGGTAGATTAATAAAACTAGCAAATCTAGTATTTCCCTGAAACGTTGTTGTTTCCTCCGTATTTGCTTGCCTACGGTGCCGATTCAAGGTAAAGTCCAGCTGGGAGATTGCAGAATACCCAATATAAACGCAATTTATAGGCAACAATTTAAAGAGTGACTATGCTCGACATGGATAACTTATATGCTGAACCTCATTTTCTTCATATATGACTCAAGATGACTCAACAAATAACCCAAGTTAGTATCACGCCATGCTTCGTATCGCGCACTCTCCCTGCTGACCTAATATTAGAAGCGGGGAGGGGAAGATGACTCACTTCAAATCTCTCAGCATCGTCAGCACAAATAAACTCCTCACAATTCATTGACGAATTAAACGCAAGAAGCAAACATTGACAACAAAATGGCGGTTTATTCGCTTCCAAAGACCTTCGCTTCAGCCGAGAAATTGGACCCAATTATCGAGCGATACAAGGGCTTTCGCTTGCTGTCTTTGAAGCAGTCCCCCGAGTCATTTGGCTCATCTTATGAGCGGGAGATCGCTTTCCCCGATGAGATTTGGATCAAGCGAGTATGTGGCCCGCTCTCTACAAATATAATTGCTGTTGCCGGAAACTCCGCAGAGAGCGAAGGAAACAAAGACCAGGAAAGAGCCATGCTCCTCAAAGAAGAATGGCTTGCTTCCCTCACCCTTTCAGGTCCCTTCGACAAGGAGGCTGCAGTTGCAATGTTTAAGAACAACATGTGGATAGAATCGCCCTCAATAATTATGGATGACGAAGTTGAATTCTATTTCGGCCTGTATGGAATGTATGTGGCTCCGAATGCTCGAGGTGCAGGATTGGGAGTGAGTCTAGTTGAGTACGCTAAGGAGAAGGCGTTGGAGATAGTTGGTGGTAAAAAGACGAGGCTCGTGCTGGTGGTTGATTTTGATAACATCGGCGCTCGACGGACGTACGAAAAGGGCCAGTTTGTTCTGAACCATGACTACTGGTTTGATGATACGCGTTGCGGAAGATCACAAAGAACACAGTCAGCAGTCATGAGGGTGGATATCGGAGGTTCTGACAACCCGGGAAAGGATGCGACCTCATGAACTGATTCAGTTTTGTGTACCCAGAAACTCATACAGAAGAATGGCATCGTTGACGCTTTTTGTTGGATGTTAAGAGGAGCAAGGTTGTGCCCCAATGATACCCTTTTATCTATACTCAGGAAGAAACCTTTAATGGTGATGGAATACTAAGCGTAACTCAAGAATAATATCGAAATGAGGCTGTAGAACTAAAGCGTGATACCGATGGATTGTATAGTCATCAGGTTATTCATCTGCTTTTTGAAGTTACTGTTTGCCAATCATCCTTACAGTCTCGCTCATAGAATTTCAAGAGAAATGAGAATGCAACTGACAGAACGTTCGGCGGTAAACTTGAGGGGCGCTGGGCTGCCATATCCAACATGAGGTTTGGGGAGTTAGAACACGGCATTATTGTAGATGATCACGCTATTCCAATTAACCTCTGTTTTTAAGTATCTAATCCTCATCTTTGGGGCTACAAAGGCACATCCCATAATCTAGGAAGCACTGGCCGTACATTGAGTAGATCGGACATCTGGATCCGACCGGATGCGTGATCCGGCCAATGTGGAGTGTTAATACCGGCCCGGCGACTGGATCCGGTATCTTGCCATCCTCTCGATAGTCTAATGCTCGTTATGCGTGACGACTTCCCTTTTCTCACTAGAAAGGCATGTGCTGTGTTTAGCGGGCGTTGGTATCATTCGTCGTCCGCTTTATTCGCCGCGTAATCGAGGATGGAGCTGGGGTATGGTAGGGATATCCTTCTTAGCACGAACCATGCCACATGCACAAACATGGGATATCATTCATCTGATTCATGATTGGCACTACCGACTATCTTGGAAGTTATGGCTCCCTTTTCTGGTTTGACTTCCAAGTCATCGACACGCTATCATCTACCCTTGCAATATGGCGGCTGGTTCGGTCATCCAGATGCCTTTTGTTTGATCCTTGGTTAGACTGCTACACCACCAAAGATCGACCTGATCCTCCTCCACGTTTCCCTCTTGAGAGCGGCATACTCTTCCGTAGTTCGTAGAACCGCATCCCTGTTCTCCACCGCCCTCCGCACCAGATAAGCCAGACACTCGCTCATGCTCCCCCATGTGGAGCATTTAAAGACGCCCGGTCCCACCGCCCCTTGCTTCGTCTCCTGCAGAAGCGAGAAGCTCACCTCGTCCGACATGCCGTGGAGCTGGCCGAATGAGACGTTCACGGTTGGCTTGTGCTCCCGCACCCGCTCTTGGTGCAGCCTCAGTGCGGCAAGCAGGCTTTCTCTGTTGTGACTTGCCAAGAAGAGCTCGAGCGACGGGAACGGCCGGGTGCCGCCGAACTCCCCGATGCGTTGCTTGAGTGCGCCCTGCGAGATGGTGTTATAGGCGTCGTCGGTGTCCTGCTTCGTGTCATGGATCAACGCTCTGTTGTCTGAGAGGATGTACGCTCCTCTGACCAGCTTCAGCCCGAGCGTGAATCCGTCCTTGCTGGCTTCTGCGAGATGGTTGGTGATGTTGGCGCCAGTGGCCTTGAGGTAGGCTTGGTAGGTGTTGTATATCGCGGCGTATCCGTCGCGGTTGAATTTGCGCATGAGGTCGACGGTAACACGATCAATAGCCTTTTGGTATTTTTGAGATTCGGCGTCGACGATCAGCCTGATTCTGCGTCTCTTACACGAGGCAGCGATCTCGTCTAGGGCCTCGATCATCTGTGGAGGGAGGGTTCCGTCTGCAGCGAATGCTGAAGTGACTGCCGTACCAGCACCAGTCAGTCTAGAGACATCTAGGTCAGCTTCACATTTGTCTGATAGCATATAGGGTGAGTTGGATCCAGGTTAAACCTACTTTATAGCCAAGATATCGCCCTCACCAATCTGATCTGCGGTTTCCAATGTACCCAGTCTCCAGGCATCAATATCTGGGTCTAGCCTCACACCCTTGGCATTGCTAAAGACATCTAGTTCGTTCTTCTTGCCATGTTCATGTGCGCTCTGTGATTCATGATCAAAGACTGTTTCTTTGGCGTATGTGAGGATTACACCACGGAAGCCTAGACTTTTCAGGTGGTTTACACAAGCTTTGGTCTGCTCTGCCGTCTCACCAGCACAGAATTGATCGTAGAATGTTTTCTTGAGTATTCCGTGTAGAAGTGGGTTTCTGTCGACATCGAGCAGGAAGCCGCCAGTAGGTTTTGATAGGAAGGAGAGGGTATGGAGGGCAGGCAGAAGTAAGAATTTATTTGAAGAAACAACCGCAATAAGAAGTGAGCGAAGTAGTGATGTGCTGTCGAGGGAGGAGAGAGGGAAGCCCGGAATTGGCTGTCTCTTGGGCGCCACTATGGGCTCTACTGGTTTGCTCTCGATCGCGTCCACAACAGTGACTTGTGTAGAGTTGGAGCGTATTCCAATTTTGGGATCCGAGGCTCTCATGTAGCTTCTTCTAAGGACAAGGTGAACTGAACTACCCGCACGGACTTGACGGGCAGTGCCAAATGGCCTAGAGAGAAGGGCCAGGCCCATGCTTGGGACTGGGTGAAGCATTAGTGGGGGCTGAATAGATGGTTGTTTTGGTGATGGTTTTGGTGATGGAGAGGTAGGGGTTGATTAGAGTGGTGTAAAACCTTCTTATCTATTTATCTATGGATGGAAATCTAAAGTGCATATCGCCAGCCTCCCGGGCCACTATCGACCCCGGCCTTGTTTTCCTTGAATCATACGGCAGCCAGCTACATGATGCAGCTCTTCCCGTAGATCCCGTTGATTGACTCTAGGGGAGTCGCCCGGACTCTGAGCCCGCAAAAACAACACGGTTGTTCAAAGTGGCCTGCCAATAAGGATGGTTATCACCGCTTTCTGAGTTTCACGATACTGCTAGGCCCTCCGTTTGGTGATAGTCACCCGAAGCCGATAGCGGGGTAGCAATGAAACTCGGATCACGAGGACACTAGAGGATTGGCCTTGACGCTTTCATTTCGTGTGGCAAAGTCGGGCGTGAATGCAATCTCGATACCTGAACACGCCTGTTGGCTGTGACCCCCTTCCAACGGACTCGCCTTCAGATCCGATCCGCGGTGGATTGGACCGGGGATTGACAAGCCGTGCATGAGATGAGACAACCCCTGTACAAGACAACAAGATGTGCCCAAACAAACTTGTGTCCATGATAAGGTATCTTCCTAATATCGTTCTGGGCCTTGTGCGGGGAAAGATTTGACTTTGGTTGCAAGTGACCTCGACCGGAAGGGCTTCCCGATTTAGCGTCCAGAACGAGTGAGAAAACCGGAGAGCCCCCCGATTGATGTGAAGTAATCGACCTCGACTGAACTAGGCAATCTGGTTCTATGATCAGATCTCTTGCGCAAGTCGACGATCCACCTGACTGTCGTCCGGGGGTGGGGGTCAACCTAGCTGGATGCCTGATATCAAAGCAACACTTCTCTTTTCTCTTGCTTCCCGACAACTATGCTCACTTCAGTCTGAAATGCCATAATTCCATTATATCACGGCATGATGCTGACCCCTTGTGTTACTTTCGGCAATACCATTACCTTTATCTTTCATTCAAATCCTCTCAAGTCGCCGGTGACAGTCCTCATCGTATCGCACTGGCTTGTAGGTCCTGTATCTACCACATCATGAGGTATCACAGTGTTCTGAGACACAAGATTAATATTGACGGAGCCCTGGTGAAACAGAGGGATAGCGAGAATATGCGACTTGCAAGGACCTGACGAACGTTGATCGGGGTAGAAAAAATAACAAGATATTATGCGCCCCCACCTTGCGCCTGGTGTCAGATCGTGACTTGCCATCGCAGCACTCGCAGATAATAAGTTGCTGAGAATGGTGCGGTTTATCATGCTCGTATAAGCTTTCCGAAACGAGCGATGGAGGGGAAAGCCCGGCTGCGGACGGAGGATCAATTTCTTAGATACGTGTATGATTTAGCCTATGTGAGTGATACTAATTTCTGTGACCTAGACGCTATTTCGTTCGCTACTTTGTTTACTTCTCAAAGCCGAAAGATGATTACCTAGCCGGTACTTGGGTGAGAACTACCCGACGCGTGCCTGTTGAATCTATTACGAGGAATTGCATTTCCCCTCAAACGGTGGGACTGGTACCTTTGACGCATCACGAGGCCCAAATTCACGGATTTCCACTGGGCAACGGAAGTGGTGTGCTGGGGCGCTGTGGGAGCTGCATCTCACGATAGTCCCTTGGCGCCTGTTGTACCTCGCCTGCTCGATTGGGGCTGGAAGGAATGGGACGTCCGGGATTCATGCAGCAAACACGGTAATGTTAATCGAGAAGGGGAATCTAGTTGCTTATCAACATCTTCTGGCATTTCTCCTGCACTGAATACCGATACCGCCTATATATCTGTATCTCTTTTTGGATCTCCAGGTTGTTGCTCACTCAAAGGCCCCCGAAAAGGAAAGTAACTGAAGCAAAGATAGAAGGATGGCAATACGACGGCGACGGAAACAGGCAATCTATCGACACCCCGAATTCGGGGTGTGGGAATACCCCAGGAATTTCCCCACCACCGACTAGCTGAGAGCGATCTCGGTCTACTAATAAAAGGGCGTCCAATAAGTGCTTGTCATCAGTCGGCAAGGCCTCCCGGTCTCCGCTCCTTATCAGCTGGCTGAGCCGACCTCGCTCTGTTCGTTCTTCCTCGTCCATCTGTATGTACTTTAGTATTGTGCCTGCCTATATTCACGGAAGTTGAGGAACATCGTGAGATACATAGAAAAGGGGCAGTATGATAAGGCAGGGCGTCGAGTCGTATACGGCACGATTGTATCGATTTACCTATCAGTTGCCCAGGACAAGCGAGCCAATCATCCCTCGTCTGTAGCTTTGTTTCTCCGGGTCCCCCTGGAAGTTAATCCACGAAAAGAAGCTCATGTCACCAGGTCGCCAGTGGGTCGTGCCCCCTCTTCCAGGGCCAGCCCTGTCCCCTTCCGCTGTGTCGTATCATCTCCATGCCTGGCTCTGGGCGAGGACCTCCGCAATCAAAGAAGGGCAGGCATAGAGATAGAGAGGTCGGCAGGGGGCGTGGTCCACCTATGACGCTGAGTTTCCTGCGTGTCCGGCGGCTCTGGTACTGAGCCACACACAAACTCTGTTCTAATAGTGCTGAAGTTACCTGTTACCAGCTGTCCGGATCTCTGGCCACGGACAGTGCATCATCTATCGAATGGTCCACGCCTAGGTGGAATATTCTGGATGTAAACCGCGTGGCTTGCGGGCACTTTGCTCTTCTCGACAATGGACTCTTCCACCACGCCGCCGCGTCGAGTGGCCAAGCGCTCGACGTATGCGTAAGTGGTTTCATTCCCGAGTTGCCCAGCTTACCTGCGCCGTGGCAGCCAAAACGTAGCATTGGCTTACAGCGTCGCAGATGCTCACGATGCAGGAGACAGAAGATCAAGTGTTCGGGGCTGCAGCCCTGCGACAATTGCGCGCAACGCCGATTGACCTGCACATTTGACAAGCGAGACAATAAAGTCATGGTTACGCAAGGGTCAGTGTCCCTTTTTTGTATTCTTATTTGGCCAGGTCTTCCTCTTGGTTATGCTTCTTGCACCATCAATGGGCGCGCAAGGCTGACATCGCCATTGGTGTAGATATCTTGCTGATTTACAACACAAAATTGCACGGTTGGAAAGCCTGGAGGCATTAGTAGCAAGGCATGCTCCCACGCAAAGCGAGAATGCAGAGGTGACCTGTCGGCCTCCAGATGGCGACGGTGAGTGCTAGATATCTCCTGTAGCTCCAGATTCGTGCCAGATCTAACGTGGCGATTGGTTCAAGTTATTACTGCAAGAACCTCTGGAGACGGTCCACAATCGGAATCCTCTCCGCGACCCTCAGAACGAGGTTCAGAGGAGCCCCGGAGGCGTCCCTCTATTGCGCATACTCATACTACGGCAGAGCCTCCGGAACTCACCAATCCGTTGACGAATACGCCGTCACAGTACATGGCGGCCTCAAATGGAACGGCTTGTGAGTGTGCCTCTATAGAAAAGGAGAAGAAAATTGCTGACCAGAGAATGACGGTATCCTAGTCTATCTGGGCACTTCTTCCAACTGGGGCTTCTCTAGACGCGTGTTGAACGTAGCGCATGAGCACGTTTGTCAAGCTGCATTGCCTACGGATGCCCTCCTCTTTGACGGCTGTGCGTATGACCTCGGCTGGGATGGCTCGAGGAGCTCGCAGAACATGCAAGGCCTCGTCGTCCCCGCTGTGGACCATGCCATATACCTGATCAATGCCGTCAAGTTCCACTGCGATCAACTCTTTCACATGTTCGACGAGGAGGAGTTCATGTCCAACTTGCACAGGTTCTATTCCCTTCCATCAGAGGCCCGTGCCAATGAGTCAAGCCTGTGGTATATCCACTTCCTGGTCATTCTTGCATTCGGGAAAAGTCTTGTCCAGCAAAAGGGCGCGGGAAGCCGTCCACCTGGCGTCCATTTCTTCGTCAGGGCATTGCAGTTGTTGCCAGACGCTACCGCACTTGGCAGAGAGCCTGTGATCTCTACAGAGATTTTATGCTGCATGGCATGGTATTACCAAGCCCTTGACTTTCGCCACGCGGCTCATAACTTTGTAAGCTCCTTGACCCAGCAGTAATATGGTCAGCTCTAATGGTTAAAAATAGATTGGCCAGGCAAAAAGCACGGCCATGAATCACGGCATGCATACGGACATGCCTGTCGATGAGTTGGGAAAGCAGCTCGTCGAACGGTGCCGCAAGATCTGGTGGACAGTGTACATCTTGGATCGGCAGATGACTTCACTCATGGGTCTTCCTCAGTCAACCCGAGATGAGGGCGTACACTGCCAACTCCCGTCATACTCTGGAGCGTCACGACGGACTGCTGCGTTGGGCATGCACATCCGGTTCGCACGCATCATCGCTGACGTTAGTCGAGGTATGTAACTGCGTCGTAACAACCAAAATTACTGGTGACAGTTGCAACCACAGCTTGCTAACAGCCCCTCAGCTGTTTATGGAACAAACGGAAGCATCAATAAGAAGTTCGTGATTAGCACGAAGAACGTACTAGAGAGCATTGCAGCTGTAGCGGATGATTTGCAGTCATCCTTTCCGTTGCACGCCGACGTTAGTTATGTTGGCATCTCACGAATTGCCGCCCATCTCCATCTACAATATTACCAGGTAGACAAGTCTTTCGACCCGTAATACATCTCGCAAGAGCTAATATCTGTGTACAGTGTATCGTCCTCGCGACGCGACCATTGCTCTACTGTTGCCTCCTTAAGAGATTCGAGGCACCGCTGGAAGCTGACGCTCTCATGGCCTCCGCCAAAGTTCGCAATCCGCTACAAATGTGTGTTGAGTCTGCACAGCAGATTCTGAATATTCTCGAGAGCCTTCGAGAGCAGGGCTTGCTTGGTATGTTAGCTTCTTGTCTTTTGTGGCCAGTAGACTAACCCCGGTGCTCAGAAACCTTCATTCCCTTGGATCTGGACTCTCTTTCGGTTTCGACGATTGTGATTCTCATGGCCCGCGCGGTGGATATCAGGCTACTTGAGAATCACCCACCGTGGGTAGACAAAGCCAACGCGATACTCGAGGACATAGTTGGCAGCGGCAACCGCATCGCCATGTATCGAAAGGCGGAGATGCAAAAGCTCGACGAGCTCCTTGGCGACTTCATCGACACGCAGCACGCGGCCCAGTTTGGCACCCATCCCTCCATGCTCCTACCTCAAGCTCTAGGAAGAACCACCGTACCAGACCCTATTGCTCCTGGTTTATCATTTGCACCGCTGGACGATGCGTCCATGTACGGGGAGGACAGTAAGGATAAAACACAACCGGATGAATGGAACTCGCAGCAGATCATGGCTGTGGCAAGCTCAATGGAGTCGGATGATGCCGACTGGCTTTCTTTCGTCATGGGCTTTGGTACTGGTTAGTGGCCAGAACTTGCCCAGCGTCACGATAGACGCATTGGGCGTTATATGTAGTTCAGGAGGGTATGCTTTTTCGTTAAGTATGGTTTGAGAAAATTCTGTTCAGGTTCTATCTTGACGGCGTCAGGTGTTAATAGCTTGCTGGGCTGATGATTGACGTTGATGAGTACAATGATGGCGCAGCTTGTATTATTTGTTTTCTCCTTTAGCTACTATGATTGCGAGGTGTTATTAAAGAGATTGGTTAATGGACTACATATTCTTTTTGTACATGATTTGACAACTTCCATGGAACATCAACTCCGTGTGCTTATGCCCAATCGACAGACCGAATGGTGAACAACCCAAACAACGCGGCCCCGAGCCCAACAACAGCCGTGGTCTTTGCAGCCGCTGCCTCCGTTGTGTCGGAGGAGGCCAGTATAATCAAGCAAGCAACGACGTCCATGCTGTCAACGGCGACGCCAGCCCATAGCATGCGCCGCAGCTCCTTCTTGGACTGGTGATCGCGACATGTAGCAGCGGTAAGGACGCCCAGCACACTCTCGCGAGCGCCGAAAATGCGGGTTATGAGGCTGGCGCCCGGGAGAGTGTCTACTTTGAAGAGTTGGGATGTGATCCCGGGCGCGAGAAATGCGGCTGCGCCCAAGACAACGCGACTTGCGGCGAGAGCTGAGATCAAGGTAGAGCTTGAGGACGTAAGCTTAGTGGTTGGGGAAGTGCTGACATTGTTGCGGCCGCTGACGAGGGGGGACGAGTCGGTGGGATGGGGCGCCATGACGTTGATATGTTTGGAATGAGCAAAAGGGGAGCGAGTCGTAAGTTTAATGAGGATTTGATTGATATCACGCAACTGGAGAAGTTGATACGTGTTGATGGTTTGTTCTATAGACTGGGGGGATGCCTTCATAGTTTATACTAGTCTCGAGCACAGCTTCAGCTCACCAACCCTAACGCCTTGGCATAACGCTATTTGTGAGACGCGGTTCAGCTACGTTTTTGTTACGTTATGTCAGGGAATTATTGTTCCACAGCTATCTAGTGAGCCTCCATTGTGGCTGCGTTATCAGCCGATGAATTGTACAGAATCTGCTCAGTAGTCCTGTCCGCGCTTGGAATCCGCATCAAACCCCATTCCTTCTCCAACAAGATCTATAAGCTTGGTATTGAAGGTCTCGTAGCAGAACTTGACAATCATGTCGATGCCTTCACACGACCAGGCGTTAGCACAGTGAACCAAAGGCAAGAGAAAGAGAATCACATACCGCAGTAAGCAGCGCCTGCTGTCCACAATTCGGGCTTGAGGCTGGACTCGCCAGTATACGGCTTTGGCCCCGTCACCCAGCGCTGGGTAACCCATTCCACATCAGGGCTGAGCTGCTGGGCCGTTGGGATGAATGAGCGGTTTGTCGTTGCCTTGTATCCCTTGAGGACGCCAGAGCTGGCAAGCCACAGGCTCCCAGTACAGGTGGTAAGCCAGACAGGGGTCTTCTCCCAGGCCTCCTTCATGAATTTGTCCGCTGCTGCAGGGCGGTGGGTCGGCCATGGCCCGCCGATGAGGACAATGTCCAGGTCGCGGGGACAGTCGTCGTATGTCATGTTGGGCACATATTTGAGCCCCATTGTGGTCTCAGTTGGATCAAGAGTGGTGGATAGATAGAAGAATTCCATGTCGGGCGCGTACTGCACAACATCACCGACGAGCTCTGGGGCAAACGCGGCGGCTTCCTTCATTGATTTGAGCCGGAAGCCGGCGAGGATGTCGGCTCCCATGACATCGGAGAGCTGGACTGTGTCCATCATGATGCCGATGCGGAGTTTTTGGACGGTGTTGGCCATGGTGAGGATGAATCGAGCGGGTTGTAGGAGATAATTGAATAGATGATGTAGATGATAGTCAAGTCGATGATGGTCAGGAGCTAGAGCAAGACCGAATGTCTCTTGTATTTATACTCCTCTTCACTACTGTAGTCATCTTACTACATGTATTCAAGACAGGCGCCAATGTTTCAATTCTCCTGCCTGAATTGACGGGAAGCAACGCGGATGATTGGCTCACCACCTTTGGATCCGAGCCCCCTCGGTGGTTAACCCCCGGTAGGATCACGGCTTTCACCCAACATGGAATAGTGTCGGGTTGCCGCATCAAAGTCAAAGCCGGGGAAATCGTTAAAATGAACAACCCTCATCGACAGGCATAATCTAAAATTGTTCGTTGAAGAGACAGCTCCGGAGATATCGGAGAGTGAGGGAGAATGAGAAGGTTCCACTTAAAAAGAAGAGTAAGCCTGAAGATTCCATCACACAGCTGAGACAAGCCTGTCCATGATAGATGTCTTCGTATATCCATTGAACTGTCCTTGATGGGTTGCTTTGATCCCACCGGCTGCCTATAACTCGAAATTGTTCCAACTTGGCATAATGTTTTTAAGAGAAGTCCTAGAAGAATTCACACGTTTGCTACGTCAAGTTGTCCCTTGCATTGAATATTTTCTTTGCTATCATTCCTGCTTACCGCTATGTGCACCTGCATTCAGTCTAAATTGAGAGACGTAGACACTCTGATTGAACCAGTCATCACTGTCCGGCATCAACCCAAGATCAACCTTCCATAGCAAGTTCGTCATCAGAAGATGCACCTCTGAATAGGCAAGACTGATGGTAGATTTATAGTCAGCTCAATCGATCAAAAAGCGGAAGTAGATAACCCAGACAGGAATAGGAAGCATACTTCTTCCCGATACAGTTGCGAGGCCCAGACGAGAAAGCTGGAGAACGTCTCTTCCATCACTACAAAGCCCAACAAGGGTTATGAGGCACAGCAAGGGAACTATTGCAAGGCGCAACACACTAATTATGCGGTTGGTTCTTCCAAGGCCATCACATGGGGCAAGAGCTGACGAATATGTGAAGTTTCCCCACCAGAAAATTTCTGCTTATATTTCACGCACCATACCATCAGCTCATTTAACAGGATTTGGCCCCTCGACGGAGTTCAGAAAATCTCAACATGTCATATCGCGCAAGTAACCAATGGGATGGGTTTGGGGATCAGGGTCCTAAGCCTAATTCTCCTGATCAGCAAGTCCTTAATGTCTTACGGATTGCCAACTTTCAGTATCTCCAAGGAGTGGCGTTGCGAGCCCGCCAATCTGGAGCAGAGTCTTACAGTCCTGATGTCTGTTGCACTATTGACCCGGAAAGGTTTACGTATGGCTCTCACCATGTCGTAATAGAAGTGGCCTTTTCCGACCAGGTATATTGGCTTGCAAGAATACGACATTCTCCGATAGACGACGCCCAGAGTGAAGCGCACGCCACGGACATGTTGAGCGAAATCGCAACAATGAAGACGCTGAAATCCCAGACAACAGTACCAGTGCCGTGTGTATTTGCATTTTCCACTTCATCACAAAATGAATTTGGGTTCCCATACACCCTCATGGAAGCACTTCCAGGCAAAACTCTCGGGGGGGTATTGGCAAAAAATATCCCACCTCAGTTCCGGCCCAAGGTTGCATCTCAGTTCGCCGAGATATTATTCCAACTAGAAAATCTATCATTTGATACCCTTGGTCGAATATCATGTGGTCAAAATTGCGATCAGTCGCCTGAGATTATTCCTGTCGATCCTGACGCATGTCGGCAACCATCAACATCCCTGGAATGGTTTTATAATGAGCGGCAACGGAAAAACAAACTCGCCATGGCCCAGCACGTTGGCGATAAGCAATGGATATCAGCTTGTTGGATTCTCAAGGCTGCTATATCGCATATAATCTCCGAGGATAGGGTCTATGGCCCATTCCCCCTGTGCCACCCTGACCTCCATTATGGCAATATCCTTTTCGATGAAGACTACAATATCACTGGTATTATTGACTGGGATGGTGCTCAAACTGTTCCTTTGGAGCGCCTAGCTGTCTCTCCAGAATTCATCACTTTTCCCGGTCTATCTCCCGAGGAAAATCAAGATACAATCGATTTTAGGGAGCTGGTTGTTGCACATTTACGAGACTTGGAATCCCCAATTAGGACGCGTTCGGGAAATAGCATCTTCTTATCTGACATTTTAGGAACGAAAGCAGCTGAAATCACCCATCGCTGTACATACAGCTTCCCGCATCGCACAATCTATGACGCCCGCTTGGTAGCAGCATTAATGTATGGCCCTAGTATCTCATGGGAGCAGTTGGTTGATGCCTACGGGGGAATGGACCTTAATTAGCTTTCTCACTCAATCTACGTCTTCATGTCTACGCGAAAGTCTCAAACCAGCGCGCCACTTCCAAGTAACTCAACAGCCAAAAAACGATAAGGCACTGGATCTTGACACGCGACTAGTAGGACTCTGGTTGCCATAATTAAACGTGGCACATCTTGACTCCTTTCAATGTGACTTAGAATTGCGTTGGGCGGGCTAAAATTGATTGGTGATGCCTGCGTCAGACACAGCAGTGCGGTTTGAGATATTCTGGAACAAGGCTATGCTGTAAATGAGAATTTAGCTGTTGGCGGTCAATCAGCTTTGAAGCCAGCCCATGTTGACCAATGGCCTCGCGTTTGGGTATAGGGGCTATTTACTTCCGGGGGAAGCTGAACTTCCAGCGGAAAACGTTGACCGAGGCTCACGCGGACACTTTGCGTAGTCTAGGCCTCGTTCCATTTGTTACTTCCATTCATTTCCCCGCATAAAGCGCAAGCAGACTAATCTCCGCACAAGGAGCTGTACCATTTGACCAAGATGAACGAATCGATGGACAGCTTTTACCCCAGATTTTGCGATATTCAGGGGACACGGCAACCTAGCCCCAGTCACCATTGCTACTTGCTAGTGGAAATTGGCTTCCCTTGGGGTTTCTCGGTAGCCTACGAGGAATGGTTACATAGTTATCTGTTTGTCTTGCAAGTTATACCAACAAGGATACATCGCTGTCGTCAGAGAAGATGGTTTGGGTGAAGGGATAAACAAACTTGGCAAAGGGCGGTGCAGGAAACAAGGAAATACGTCTAGGATGTAATTTGAATCATGCAAGATGCAGTTTATTAGTATTATATACTGCGGGGCCGAAATTTCCGGTTCGTGCGGATGTTGTTTCCCTGACGAAGAGTCAGCCTCAGCTGTTCCCTGTTGGCGCGGTATCAGCTACAGTTTTTGGTATCTAGTCATCGTGCACTGTGTCAAGACTTGAATCTTGGCTGGAGATCAGGTGCCCATAAAGTCTGGCATGCAGCTGCATCCTCTGACCTCTTCGTTTCATCCATCTGGGTTGCAGCCGTTTCAAGTGCTATCAAATTTTCCCTCAGAGCTCCAAACCTCGACCCAGCACGATGGCTAACTCTTCCAAAGAAGAGGTAACATCTCACCAACACGCTGAAATCCCATCATCCCATTCCGTTTCTATACAGGAACATGAAACTCTAGGATGCGAAACTGATTTTCAACACCTTCCAAAAGGCTACTACTACAGCCGGTTCTTCCTTGGATCGCTTCTGGCAACAGGTCTAGGACTTTGGGCAGCGGTGGCATCTTTTGTACGTATACTCCCTACCAAGCAAATCACCGTTTAAGGATAGTAACTAACGTGAATTCAGGGATATGCTGCGCCCATTCTCACCCAAATCAACGCTGATCTTGGTCCGGATGCGAGATATACATGGATTTCTCTTGTCTACAATGCGGCTCTGGCCATTTTCCTTGCTCCCCTCGGGCGTTTAACGGATATTTTTGGTCGTCGGTACTTCTTCATTGGAGGAGGCTTGATCGGAGTTGCTGGGAGTATTGTGTGCGCGACCTCAACATCCATTCCAATGTTGATTGGTGGTAACGTGTTATTGGGAATCTGCTCCGCTACCCAGATGGGGTTCCATTTCGTGCTTGGGTAAGGAATCCAGCTTCATGATTGGAAAAGTTTGAGAAAGCCCTTACTGACTTCTTGTTCTATGCAGCGAACTTATTCCCCTCAAGTGGCGATATGTCGGCAACGCATTCCTATATCTTTTCACTATCCCATCTGGCCTCGCCCCGTCGATCGACTACGGATTCATGCAGTCTTACCCAAATGTCGGATGGCGAGGTCTATATTGGCAGATCTTGGCGTTGAACGGCGCAGCACTCATCTGCTGGGTCCTGTTCTACTTCCCTCCCTCCTTTGAGAAGAAGCACCGCAACGAAGAGAACTCATCGGTCCTATACTGGCTCAAAAACTTCGACTGGGTTGGATTCTTCTTGCTCGCCAGCGGCTTTTGTGTCTTTCTTCTCGGTCTCAGCTGGGGAGGTGCCGTCTACCCATGGAAGTCAGCCGCTACGATCTCATCGATTGTCATTGGTTTCGTTGTCTTGGTAGCTTTTGTCCTGTGGGAGATTTATGCACCACTCAAGGAACCCCTAATCCCCATGCATTTGTTCAAGAACACACAATGGGTGGTCTCGTGTGTGCTGCTGGGGCTGGGTGCTGGTGTGTACTATGCCTTTGCAATCATCTGGCCCATGCAATGCGCAACCCTTTACAATGACCGGGATTTGACTTATTTGGGAGGCATATCGTCGCTTGTGGGCGTCGGCATCATTTCTGGACAGATTGTCGGCGGAGTTCTCACAGCAAAGATTGGCAAGGCAAAGTATCAATGCATGACTGTGTTCACGATTGGCGGCATCTTTCTTGCCGGTAAGTGCTAACTCTGACATGGCCACTCTCGCATGATAACTAACTGGTTTTAAATATAGCCGTTACCGTAAGTAATCCTGATAATAAATCGACCGCTATTGCCCTGATGTTTCTCGGGTGTTTCTTCATCGGCTGGAACGAGACAATTACTCTGGCCAACACGACGATCTGCGTTGAGGATCAGAGAGAGATTGGAATTGCTGGCGGGTTAGGAGCATCAATCCGAGCTGCCATCTGTGCCGTCCTCGTCGCTATCTACACAACCATCCTCAGCAACCGGTTGACCCAAACAACCTCGAGCCTGGTTCCACCTGCTCTCATAGATGCAGGGTTACCAGCAGGCTCTGTGTCTGACTTCTTGACCATCATCTCCACCTCTGGTACAAGTGCACCAAGCAGTGTCTATGCCTCTGTCAGCGGCATCACAGACAACATTGTAGCTGCTGGCGTGAGGGCCTACAAGGTGGCCAACTCTGATGCATACCGGACGGTATATCTCAGCACGATCGCGTTTTCAGGTCTGGCTATTATTTTGACATTCTTCGCGCCGAACACGGAGAAGTATATGACGGATCATGTGGCTGCGACTCTTAACCAGGAGGGTACAACGACCGATGAGGAAAAGGGTGGCTCACGTTGAGATATCACAACAAGGCTGCGTGAAGCCATACATAAATTTTCAGGTGTATGCCATAGGTCTAATACATAGCAGTAAAGCAATCGTCACCATCCTATTACTAAACGTCCACCTGTGATGTGATAAGGCTCAAAATTCCTCGTAAGAGAATCCAACACCCAACTATGGGCAAATGGTCCACGTTTCAGATAATAGAGACTTTCCACGCAAGCATTATCCACCTGGACGAAAGACTAGGAAAAGATGGCCAAATATAAAGGCAAAACCAAAAGGAAAGGGACTCCCCCGGACAGGATCGAACTGTCGATCTCCCGATTACGTTAGTGAATAACAGTCGGACGCCTTAGCCAGCTGGGCCACAGGGGATGAGATTTGATGACTCAGCCATATGATAAAATATCATATATTCCTGAGCTTCTCAGTGTGTGAGCTGCCTCAGTCTGCGTGGACGGATGGAAGATGCTAAAGCCAGGTACATAATGGTGGGGTTTTAATACATATTATGTTTCAAACTAAATCTAAAGCATCAGTGGCCAACAGCTTATTCGATCCATCTTGGTATCCTCCTCTGGCTTGTTACAGCTGCTGTTATATGTACCTAGGTAGTCTCAATGGGAGATACTTATGGTTGAACAACTTAGAAAGAGGACCAATAAGGCCCATATGCAAGTCCACCTCAAATGGAGAGAACTTAGTAATTATGTTAGCTAATAAAATCCAAATACTACTACTAGATGGCCACCTTCCATAGCGGGGTGACAGCGCCTAGATGCAACATTCCCACTTCGTCAAGACAATCCAACGCAATGTAAATCCCTCCCAAGCATATTCCCCGCCTGCCACAGTCATACTGTCATGTTCAGTCACATAATACCAATAGGGTGCACTTGGAAGTATGCCAAACGCGTCTTGAAATGAACGCCTTTCGCTCAATCATCTACCTGACTATCTGAGAGGTTCCTGTGCTTCTGAGAGTATGTTGGAGTATATACTTATGTATGAGTAAGTTCTGAGCGGACAAGGTACGCCCCGCTCTCCCCCGCCGCAGAGTGCCATCTAAGAATGGGACGTGTTGGGCTGGTCAGGAGCACGACTGCTTTTAGTCCTTGTCACCCTAGTTAGGTAGCAGTCGGCTGGCGACTGAGGTATAATAGCCTGATTGAAATATGTGCCTGAACGTGGTCAAAGATGCCAATTCATCCCCAGGTTGGTGGGATTTGACTCAGTGCTACCAAAACGGCGTCAGTCATTTGTCGGGTTTTTCAAGCAAGGTGAGTTCTCATTCCATTTATCCGAGACGGTTTGTCAATATCAACCCAAATTGTCGGCATGCAGCGGCCAGCTTGTGACATCAATGAAGGGCGAGCACATGTAAATTTCTAGAAAACTCAAATGAGTTTGGGTTTATCTGCGTTTGATTTAAGTCGATATAAATCCTGTCCATCAATAACTTTCATCATCAATACACACAAATTGCTTTTCGCTTAAGACTGGACGACTAAAATGGCCATTTGGTCTCAGAAGTAAGCTGTATCGAACTGAATGTCCTTACGCCGAGTCAATGCAGAAGTCAACATTAAGTTACAATGCCGAGGAACTCGGTATTACAACCGTGTTTCTAATTGCATTAACACTCTTGCCCGCCTTGAAAGATTGATCACGCAGTACGGGGCTGCAATTTGAGCCACATGGGTTTTCGTCGTGTCCATGAGAGCTTGTGATTCGTCTTATGCGGTGAGGACCAAATCGGGTTCCCTCGGCTGAGACTACCGTCAAAGGCAGTACTACAGTGCTCTTAAGCGAGTTGATGCTACTGTTTCGAACAGAAAGAACTATGTAGATCTTTATCTTGGTACTACCATGCGAGGATTAGGTTTCCCCACGGGGAACCATGTGTGTTGCAATGGCTGTTGGCGGAATACCCCATTCTATGCTACAAGGTTATTTCCCCGTTTCCAATACATACCATGTCCTAAGCGGGCTATCACTCCGCGATGAGAACAAATCAAAGAATATCGCGCCTTACCTGAATAATTTCTCAAGCATAATGGGAAAGTGACTCGGCTTGCGCAATGTCTCCCCCGCAGTGTGAAGTTGGAACACCAAACAATACATCAAAAATCACATGAAGATCTTCCGAGGAAGCGCGGCAAATCACAAGCTTATTCGTTACGACGTGTCGTAATCAGGAGTTCAGAGAGGGTGAGAGAATTTGATCGACTTCGAGGCTTTCTAATCAAAGATAAATAGACCTCATCTTCCCAAACCATCATCAATTCCACTCACACCTTCTAAGCAAACAAGCATTCCATCTTGCAACCTCAAGCTTTGTCGGGAACACTACTCTGTTCAATACTCTCACCATAATGCTCTTTGCAAAGATCTTCACTCTTGGGCTTGTTGCCTTGGCTTCGGCAATTCCTGTTCCTATTAAAAGAGACTTCGCCGGCATCCAGAATGGTTTCACGCAGATCGACGCTACACTGACCTCAATCAACACCAAAGTTGTCGCGTATACTGGCAGCTTGGGTGAGAGCCTTTCGCTCTACACTGACATCACGACTCTTCAAACTCGCATCAAGGCTACTACTCAAGATGTTATCGATAATGGCGCATTGACTGCTGATCAATCGGCCACTCTCAACACGGCGGCCGAGAGCACTGTCTCTCTTCTTGAAACCGTTCTCGCAAACGTTATTGCCAAGGTATCCATCCATAATTAAGAGCCACAGGCGCGCAGAAAAATGCACTTGGCTAATACTATGTTGCAGATTGACGTGATTAGAAACAGTGGTTACTTCGATCTGTTCTTCGATCTCCTCGCTGGTGTTAAGGTACTGCTTATTCCAGATGCCGTGACATGATATTTGCTAACACATGCTTAGGAGGATGTTGATGCGCTCTTCGCTGCTCTCGCCAACGTTGGTAAGTGAACATTTTAATTTATCTTTGGTGAATTTCCTCTCTAATCCGTGGCTAAGTCGACGCCTCCTACGCCGATCAATTTACAGCTCTGCACGCGAGAGTCAATGCTGCTTACCAGGCAGTTCTAGATGCCGCTAACTCTCCGTCCAAGCTGTAAGGGAATGTCAAAACGGAAACCGTTATCGGATAAATATTGTCTCTCAATCACCAACGTGCACTCGGATGATTGGCATTGACCTGAGTTGTCAGGGTCGCTTATATCAACCTGATTCAATTTACTCGGCTACATAGGTATCTTACCGTTTGAAATGTATTCATGGAAGAAGAATCGCAACGATCAACCAATCATCTGGTTAAAGACTTTTCATCCCTAGGAGACGCTTAGAACCTCGTGATTCAAATGTACTTGTTGAAGCTATGCCAGGAGGGCGCAATATTCCATTGTCAATAAAACCTGATCAACTACTATTATCAACACGAGAAATAAGTGGCAAAACCCACTCAATTTTTTTTCGACATGCTGATGACATCGTGCCATGGGGCGAATGATATCCTGGTCATTTGCTCACGCACCCTGAAAAGGCTTTTTGGGCCAACCCGACCCTGTTCGTGGTCATCCGGGCCGGCCTACCCTATATGGAGCCTCCCACTGATCTACGTTGAAGCCGTTCGTGAAGACGCCTCGCCTCGCGAACAGCTTACCGCCGAATGGGATTGAAAGTCGATTCATAAGGGATGCATAATTCCCGAATTTTTTTTTAGATGGCATAGTGAATTGCAGCCAGCTATGTCCGCCACTCTGTTATCATGTGCACGTGGTAAATTTCTCGCTCTTATTGGGGCTTACACTTACACCTAGCCGGAAGAAATATATTTTATCCTTTGTCATCATGCGATTCTTCTTCCTTATTATTAATGAGATTCATTATCCAATACTTGAACGACCCCCGACCTAATAAAAGTTTCCTTACTACCTTTCCGTTGGGTTAGTGGAGTTCATGTTGGTACCCATCATATAATATATGGGAGTCTAGGCAACAGTAATACTACACTGAACAATTTAACATCGGTTAGAGTACTGCTGCCTACTCCATTTATCCTAGGGTAGGTTGATCATAAACCCCTGGCTGATAAGTGTGCAGCAATTATGGACAAGGATGCAGAGAGGGGTGAGAGTAGTGTTGAATACACCTTGGGAGGCGACGACGGGCCGGTTCACATTCATATGAATGCATGTATGCAATTGGGACCGGCCGTCATCTACAAGTCAGGTGAGCGCGCTCAGATTTTCCACCTAGGCCCCCATTGCCGAAGTGGCTCGAATATGGCATTCTCATGAAAGGTGAAATACGGGAACTCAGCAATGACACAAATGCGATAGTTGACTAATACCATCGGATTACTCTGACATATTATGGACATTGATGATTCAGTAATAGGTTCTATGCCATTGGGGGACGTGATGATGTGCTTTTTCATTATGGATTGATGGGGCAGGATCTCGAGATTATTACGCTTAAGCTTGAGTAAGAGGATTCAAACTGTCATCATTTTGTTTTTTTTTGGGGCGGATCCTATTTCAATGAAGCCCACTCAGCCTCACTTGTGCTGATTGGGTTAAAGAAATGCACCAGATGACAGGCCACCCTGTCAGTCGAGCGGACGGCTCACAATGTGGCCCCGATGGTGTTGGAGTCCGACATAAATCCGGACATGAAAACAACAGACCGATTTTATGAAAGCAGTACAACACTGTAGAGGTTCATCGGCCAGTAGATGACGTGATTCTTCTTGCCAATCCAAGAATGCAAGTCTCATGTCTTCAGATGCCGCCCGAAGCGTTCTGGTGACATGTCTTACATGGAATGTCACCCACTTGCCGGTACTCAGTTTTGAGGTGGAAACTGGCCTGACGTCGTGAATTGTGGACATCGACAAGCTTCCGACACCGCCGCGTGGCCAGCACAGAGGCCGCTTGCGGCGTTGAGCGTCAAGGGATGACAATGACAGGCCAACGAGCGCGCCGGCATTGATGAGGGACCCAGAACCCTTCGAGATAACCGGGCCCGGACGTGCCTGATTCTGCACGACGGCCACTTTCCGAGCCACTAGGAGCTGACAAGCGGTATCTTGCAGGCCTCGAGGTCCACATCTGAGGCCGACTATGACGGCAGCCCGGCAGTTTAGAAAAAATCCCGCTGCGCTAGAAGCCTTCTCACCGAACATCTCCGTGCCGTCATAGCCGCCCGCGGCTCGTGTCGCAAACCTTTCACTGATGGCTTCATGCTGTGCCCCTGACGGGCACCATGCCACGGTGGATTCGCTCCGCTTGCGAGGTTACGAAAATCCCTCGAGTCGCGGTGATCGGACAGTGGTGAGAGTCGCAACGCGCACGGTCGGCGCCCCCGGCTTGGACGGAACAGGTACTCCTAACTGAGATCCGGGAGGTAGATTTGGGTGGGTTTCGAGGGCAGGGAGGCAAAATTGGAGTAAAATTGGAGGAAATTGGAGGAAAGAGGGGAAATGGTTTGAAATGCTGACCACTGTGGAGGCAACGTCGAGTTCCCACGGGGCTCCATGAGAAGTTTGTTTCCCCTTCTGGAGTTGGAGTACAAGAAGGCTGGCCTGGGTGCTCTCTCTCGTCTCGGCCGTGGCGAGTTTCTTCCATCTCTGCCTTTCTCACATCCGGTTGTTTGCTGTATTCGCCAGACCCAACACTGAGAAAGCATGCCGCGGACATACCTGGGAGTCTCGGGCAACGCCCTGAGCATTCTTCAGCTCTTCCTCATCGTCGCTCCGGCTTTCATCCTGTTTGGTTACAACCAAGCCAACATCGGTGGATATTTGGAAGAATCGGACTGGGTGAAGACCTTCCCTGAGATCGATACCGTGAACTCGACCGGCTCCGAGAAGAGCAGGAAGTCCACACTTCAGGGATTCGTCGTTGCCACATTCACCATTGGTGCTCTCATCGGCTCCCTGTCCTGCTCCTACACTGGTGACAAGTTCGGACGTCGAAATGTCATCTTCGCTGGCGGTCTGGCCACTCTGATTGGCGAAGTTCTTCAGGGTTCGGCTTTCTCTCTCGCCCAATTCATCGTCGGCAGAGTTCTTATCGGCTTCGGTGTTGGATGCCTCAGTTCGATTGTCCCAGTGTGGCAGAGTGAGACCTCCGGTGCCAAGAACAGAGGAAAGCATGTCGTCCTCGACGGTCTCTTCATCTGCGTGGGCTACACTTTGGAATCTTGGATCAACCTCGGATTCTTCGAATTCGTCGACGGCATGATTACATGGAGACCTCCTATTTGCTTGGCCATCATCTTCTCCCTGATGCTCTGTTTCTCTGTCTACTTCTTCCCCGAGAGCCCTCGCTGGCTCGTGATGAAGGGACGATCCGAACAAGCTCGATCCATCGTGGCTTCGTTCCGAGGCCATGAAGAGGATGCCGTCGAAGTCGTCGCTGAGGTTTCTGGCATTGAACACTCGCTGGAGGAGACCAAGGTCAGCGGATCTAAGCTCACGGACATGATGACCATGGGCAAGGACAAGCTGCTCTATAGATTTGCTCTGTGCATCCTGCTGCAGTTCTACCAGCAAATGTCCGGCTCCAACCTCATCTCGGTCTATGTTCCCATCCTTTTCAAGAAGAACATTGGTCTGTCAGCCGAGCTATCCAAGATCCTCGCCGCTGGCGCCATGACCTGGAAGTTTTTGTCTTCGTTCATCGCCTTTGTCGCTATCGACCGATTTGGACGTCGCGCTGTCTTCATGATCAGCGGTATTGGAATGTGCTGCTGCATGACTGCCTTGGCAATCACCACTTCGATGGATAAGGAGAACAAGCCTGCGATGATCATCGCTGGGTGCTTCATCTACCTTTTCAACACATTTGTTCCTGTAAGTTATCATCATCGATTGTTTTTCGTTGGGTTGATTCAGTTTCTAACGTTCACATAGATCGGATTCCTTGGTGCCAACTTCCTTTACTGTACTGAGGTTGCACCCCTGCGCTTGCGTATGGCCATGTCTTCCATTTCCACAGCGAACCATTGGCTTTGGTATGCTTTCTCTCGTCTTACATAATTAATTATATGTTCAATCCATTAACACGCGTTATAATAGGAACTTCGTCGTGGTCATGATCACACCAGTTGCGATTGACACCATCTCCTGGAGGTACTTTATTGTCTTCGCCGCGGTTGGAGCTTGCATCCCGCTTTCAGTCTACTTCTTCTTCCCCGAGACCATGGGACGCTCCCTTGAAGAGATTGAGACTCTCTTCACCGAGGCTCCTTCTGCCATGGCCACTGTCAAGCTTGCCAAGCAGCCTCCAGTTCCCGTGATCCCCGTCGAAACCAAGAAGATGGAACAGGCGGTGCACCACGAGGAGCCTTAATTCTACAAGAATGAGCGCGATTTAGAGTTTGAGAAATTAATGATGAATAACGATCTGAACTGGAATTAAATGGTTTGCGCTGGGTTTCCGTTAACGGATTGAATTAAAGCATGAAAGAACAAAATAGACTTGAGCAAGCATAGAATGTCATCCAACAAGTACTTATCCATTCAATTTAGGTGTGAATTTTTCACGCTGACTCTCTTGAAGAGCCCGAGCTGAGTTTTGCATCGCCGTGACCGGACACGACTATGTCGGAACCCACAATCTTTAAGCCTAGCCTCGATGAGAGACTTGAGTCATGGACAGCCAAGCGATTGAGATTGCATATCAGAGCGCTTCGAATGATACTGCCCCCTCTACTCAACTTGCCTTGGCCGAGTCGGCTGCTCGACTCGCACTCTCGCATCCTGGTCGTGGACAAGGAAACGCCGGGGAGCGATGGGACCTGAGGTGGGATTGGGGTGTCACCCAGGGGGTATTGGCGAGCAGAAGCTGCTCGCGGTGTGTTGGAGTACCATACGCGTTCTGGGGAGAACCGTGTCCATTCCATTGTACGCACCCTGATGAGGATGCTCGGGTGCGGGAAGGGCAGGAGGATACCCAGGATGACCATAACCAGGTCCGGGCAGGGTAGGATATTGGCCGTATGGGCCACGTGCAAAATTGGAGGAGATGGTATCCGTAAGCCGATTGATCCCGCTCAGCAATTGTCGTTGCTCGTCAAAAACATTACACACCCAGGACCTCCAGCGTTGAATTTTAATACAATATCAAACCAATTAATCTATAAAAAATCTATAATAATAAGCTAAATACTAAATAATAATAATCAATAATTTTCTTATTATTGTGTTTAGTATTATTGACAAGGAAATGAGGTCCCTGACTTGCGTGAACAGAGCTTTGGTGCGCAATGTTTTATGTCAGTCGCTTGATAACCTATGAAACCATGTAGTTTGATATTCCCAGAACAGACATTAACTTAGTTAGAGCCCATGTCGCCCAAACCTAGACCGTTCCAATCCCACATCCCGTCAAGGATACCGAGATCAACCTGTGCCGGAGGTTCTAATGGTCCCCAAACTCCCCAATCACTCTGGGGTATATCAACCAAATCGGACATGCTACCAGGTTGGTGCACAAGAGGCTCCTCATGGGCTATGCCAAGCTCAGGAAATGAACTTCCGGTTGAACTAGATGCGTTGCCCATTTGTCCTATCTGCTGAAGGTCGGTTTTCTCTGACGCATCGAGCTTGAGTTTCGAAGCCAGGGCCTTCAGAATAGTCCATGTTGTTGCCCCCAGCTTCGTGAATTCGCGTAGCTTGTTGCACATGTAGATTGCTTGCCCAATTGCTGCTATAACCTCTATGCGTCTGGGAACCTGACGCTTCCGACCGGCCTTTATGATAATCGAAGACAGAAATGAGGCATTATCGAATGGGGCGAATGTAACCATAAAGTACTTTGCGTGCTGTGGGACGCAGGCATCGAATAACTTTCGGCTCACATCCATACACTTCAAGCTGAGGTCGATTATATAAGAGAGCCTGTCCGGGTCACATCTTTCAATATCCAGAACCGTTGGTCTGAGCAGTATCATCTGGGCCATATAACAAGCTGTATGTAATTGTAAGCGCTGGACCACGAGCCTGGGATGTTTTGTGTCCCATCGTTCGTCGGCGCCCTTAAGCCGGAAGACGCATGGAAGTCTGTCTATAAAGTTTTCGACTAGTGCCAGTTTGGCATCTAAGTCCGCATCCTTTTGGCTATCATCGTATAGTTGGCTAGTTAGCTGATTCTCAAGCACCTTGGTCAACACAATCGATGGTATCTCTGGATCGTCTAGTGTCTGATCCAACTTTGGGTTTGGCAAGGGGATAGGTTCGTTTGACTGGATGATTGCGGCTCGATTGAAAATACCGACCATGAATCTGTGAAGTACGGATTAATCCTGCACAAGCACCATCGACTAAGAATCCTGCGAGCGCTTCTCACCTATCCCAGGTCCACAGAGCACACCAAAGTCGCCTGCGGAGTTCTCTTTCTATCTCTGTCATCTCGTCTGATGATGAATCATTATGGATGCCTGTCCAAAAAGTTGTGATTGAGCTTTCTTGACTAGAGTGTTTATGAATAAGTCGTGACGAACCTATTTCTTGAGCATGTCTTACCGCAGCAGCCAGTTGATGCCATGAAGAGACAAAGTCACCTTCTGATTTAGACCAAGTAGCTGCTAGGAAGAGTTGTTGAGCATTTGACAACCCCCCACTCCCAGAAGGCAGGTAATCGCTCAGAGTTTGGGCCGTGGTATTATAATTCGCCCCCAAGACCGATACAGACTCTCCAAGTTCAGATTCAAACCGATGAATATCAGAAGGGGTAAGAAATTGGGTCGAATTGCTGCATATTCGGAGAACCAGGCAAGTGAAAGAGATGTCGGAACAGCTAGGCGAGCCTCTAAGTTCGGGTCTTGTTGACCACCATTTCGTGTACTGGGTCATGAAATGCGGTTGATGGAGAATGCAATAGTGGTAATTAACAAGATTGAAGAAGTTTTTCACCAAAGAGTCGGTATAAGGGCGCGGGGGAACGGTTCTGAGAGCTTGCAAAACATGATTTGGGATTGAGAGCGCTTTCGTCGGCTTTGTAGTGGGTTGGATCTGGCTTTTGGTGTCAGTTTCAGTTCGTCGATCGGGTTTATTGATCAGAGAAAACTGTAGCACTTGCCTGAAGCACTCTGAAAACATCGCTATCCACATATGACAATTCATTCACTGCCGAACAGCAATCTTCCAGGGACAAAGGACTCTGGGTATCAGATACCAGAGGCTCAATTGTTTGTTGAGAATCGTTCATTGAGCTTGCTTCTGACTCCACCGGCTGTCTACTTAACGCGATCATTAGGATTTCAATTGAATAGACATCAATCTATCACCACTCAGCAAACAGCGTACCTTGCCCCCTTGTGTGGCCCAAACTCGCATAAGTGAGAGATCTTTCGATTTTGACAATGATCACATGGCCATTGACGGTTACATTTCTTCTTCCTCCGTTGACACTCCGAGCAAGCTGTGGCAGTCCTGCCCCGAAGTGGGCGTCGACGAATAGGAGACCTGGAATCCATGGTCAGAGTATCTTCTAGCGGCCGTCCCTATCACTAAACGGCGAGGAGGAAAATTGTGAGTTCGGCCGTCGTCAATTGGGAAAAGACCAATCCAGTGGGAATATTCAATGCGGTGAAGTTGCTAATGTAACCTTTGTCAGCAGATCCGCTTATTCAATTTGATGTCAGCACGCGGAGATAAATAATAGCCGTAAACTCTGCATAAAACATTATCATCAGCGTCAGCATCATCATCAGCATCATCAAGTGTATAATCATAAAATGTATCAGCAGACGACCCTCAAAAGGCACCGGCCAGTAAAGATAACCGGAATACTTCTCCAAGAGCTGTTATGTATTCTTGAAAGGACTATCTATTGCATTCTAATACTAATTTGCTCCTTGTTTCCAATCAAATCTATGTCCTGAGGGCACATCGAGATAGTTCAGCATTGAATTTTCACACACAGTATCACAATGAATAACTTAGTACTGAATACAATATCAAGCTAAATATTATAGAATAGTTTATTACTCTTTAATTATTCTCTTATTATTATATTCAGTTAAAAAACGAGGTCCCTGCCTTACGCGCAGAGAGCTTTGGTGTGCTATGTTTTATTCCACCCACTTGCCCCTGTAGGGGCCGAAACCCCTTTCGAGGGCGGTGGCGAGGGTGGTACGGGCAGAGATCTCGACGTGGAGCAACACCCGCCAAGCCGCGGGTGCCTTGTCCTGCGACCCAGAACTCGGCTGCTTGGATGGTTCGTTCTTCGGTGACCCTAACGGCGGGACGGGCGTCTATGATGGCGATGCGGCGCGAGTGCATGTGCCTGTAAATATGTAGTTAGCCAAATCTATCTGATGTTGTAGCGAATCTAATTATTTTATAGATATCAAAGTTACTAACCCTCATAGCTAGATATAATGCTGTTTCTACCAAATCTTCGTCTCCCGGCTCTCCCTTTGGCCGGTTCGTAGACTTCCCTGGAGAATGACCGCCAACATGACCGCCAACTTACCTATAACGTCGGTCTTGGAGGCAGTGGTCGATATGTGGCTCTTATTATTGTAGACGAGAGAACTATCAATAAGTATATATTTTGCTACAACGAGTTAGTCTAGGTATGCTCTCCATAGCCTTTACCTGAGTTGCATGATATCACCTACCCAGTATATATGACTTTCCCCATACCATTAATATCATCAAACAGGGTACTTTTTCCATGGCCGGGCTCAAGCCCAACTTCATAGTCCACACCATGCGTGTCCGAAATTACTAGTCCGGTATTGCTGTCAAGGATGGTCACAGTTCAGGGTTGACGTCTGCCCGTCGGTGTGTATCCGTCTTCGGAAGGAGCACGCCCTTTGGTCATCTTGTTCCGGGCAGCCAGGTGAATGGCCGCCGCTGCTCCGGTGTCGGAAATCTGTACAAGGTGGGGATACATACTCCGCGGCGCGCTCAGCTTCCGGGTACCCTGGCTCCTTGGGCTGATTTTGTATGGTATAGTGGTTATATATGTAGCTTTACGGACAATGAACTAAGACGTAGGTTCAACGAAACTACTCAAAAATAATACGATTAGGGATGAGGACTTCGATGCCTCCTGATAATGCCTCGCCGGAGGCGCCAGAGCAACTTTCATATCCCCCCATCGACGGTGGCCGAGATGCATGGCTGGTTTTGACTGCCGCGACTGTGATGGAAAGCTTAATTTGGGGTATGCCTTGCATTCAATATAACGACTACTAAATACTCATTGATGCAATAGGATTTCCTTTTGCATTCGGCGTCTTCCAAGAATACTATTCGCGTCAGGAACTATTCGCCGACTCTAATCCCGAGCGTGCTTTGGAAACATGCGGGCATGCCAATGCATTCACTTGCGACATACGAAGAGCCTTCTTCTCGTCCGCCTGTGTTCCCCAATGGCTCTTTTCATTGGCTTGCCATTTACTCCCCCGTAGAGAGTTTGATATAAAGTTAAAACAAACAAAAAAAATGTCAGACCCATAAACTCAACACAAGGAATATGAAAGGTTAATAATAAAAGCTTCGCTAGCCCAAGGCTGCAGCCATAGGGCAGAAAATTTAATAAACCTTCCTGCTTATAACTCACTTGCCGTCAGGACGAACTGCTCATTGAATAACTATTAAAGCTGCCTGCCCTCTTACCTACATAGCTTCTTTCGATTGTCTTACGCCAATCCAAAACACTTCAACACACCAAACGCGAATATACCAACCAACCCAGTGAGTACCAGTAGCCCCTTGGCCAGAGCACTGAAACTGACACACTTGCAGACTTCGCTGTTTATCCCGACAATTAGGATCATGGCAGATAACGATACCGCCACTTGGAGCTCCTTAGCGCCAGAGATCCGCCTCATGGTCCTGGATGCCTTGATATCGGATGGTTGTCGCTTAGCTCATCTTGTCACAGTGTCACGAGAATGGCAGAGTGTCATCGAACCGCATATATTTTCTCGCATCACATTGACAGTTTCTCGTCTTGCAGATCTGAACCAAATAACCCACCGCAATCGACACCTCGTCAAGTCTCTATACCTTGCTGTAGAGCTTGAAACCTATGATTGCATGGAGTGCAAGGGCGAAATGGACCAATTTGTTGGATTATCATATAAAGACAATCGTCTTGTTACAACATGCATCGAAAATTTATTCTCATCTCTTAGTACGTGGGAGCAAGACAAGTCCAATCTAATGCTTGATATTAGCGTCTATTCACCGAGCGACTCAGAACACTGGTTTAAATATCTGACTTTCGAACCTGATATTTCTATTCAAAACTTTGACCAATACCTCAAAGAAAAGGAAAGAGCTCTGCATGAGTCCAGTGATAGACAGCATGGTTGGAATGCTGCTTGTCAGGAATCTCTCCCGAAGGTGTACGCCATTGAAACAGTTTTTCAAGAAATCATGGGAGAGGGCCCATTTGATTCAGAAGAAGAAGAATTTGAGTGGTGGAGCAACCTCCCTTTTATTCCAGCCGTAACAGGAATCCGTTTACGTCAACAGACTAGACGGCGATGGAAACCAGCTGCCCTTGAGAGGCTGTTCTCTCGGTTTCCCAGACTTGAAGAGATTCATCATGAACCTTGGAGAGAATGGGATAGAATTATTGAGCGATTTACAGATAGTGGTAAGTTATTCTTCCTATTATACTACGTGAGAGAAAGGAGAATTCTGAAATAATCAATAGCGTATGAGCGCATGTTCAAGTCGTTGCCAGATGTCAAACGACTTGTACTTTTCGAGAACTTCAACCAAGAATATCCAGCGAGAATTTACTACGCTGAAGAATTCCGCATCCCATCCTCTGCTGTGGGTCGAGCGATTGGCCTTGCCAGCCTGAAGCTTGATATTTTATCCGCATCCTTTATACTCGATGCCGCTGACTTCTTCACCATTACTACCGGGCATACATATTGGCCCTTTCTTACCTCCCTTAGCTTGACTTCAAACCTGCTTATGCCAGATGCAAGCACAACCGAGCTAAGCAGCATGCTTGAATTAGCCGCAAGTGCGGCGAAGAGGATGCCAAAGCTGCGAGTTATGGAAATATGGAATGGAAGAAAGGGAGTAGCAGCAGTCTTTCGATACCAAAGAGATCATGGCATTACTTGGAGGGCGACATGGGACATGGATTTCGAGTCTAATGTAAAAAAGTCGTGGAAGTCTGTTTGGCAGATGCGTCGCTCTTCCTCTGAATGGACTATTACTAAGGAGGTTATTGGCTGCGGCAAGGATATCCAATCGCATGGAGATGCAATTATTCAATTGCAGCTCATAAATGAGGTTCTTCGACCCATTTCGCTACAACAGATTCAGATAGAGCACAAGATGCGAGCAGCATCGAGTGTGTGCATGGACAGACTGACCAACGAGTGATTCGGCAACGATGTATATACCCTCATCTAGCTCAAATCAAATGGTTTTCTCGACTCTCTGGACGAGGCCGGGAGGAGACAAAGACGATAGAGGGGGCAGCGAAGCCAAACTGGGAGAAGATACGGGCGTGACATCTATTATTGGTGTTGAACCTTATGTACGGCCGGGCACAAACCTCGCAACCGGGCAAAAAGGCTGAAGTTTAATGTGTTATGATATTGGGTATGGTGTTAAGTTTAAATTATTGGTGTTTGGGAATTTCCCTTTTTTCCCTCCAGCAGCTACATAGCTCTCTCACTTACACGGTCGTGACATGCCGCGAGTAGAGTTTTCCTGTCGTATGACTATATCTTGGGAGGGCTAGGAAAGGCCATATTTTAAAGCTTTCGTATTCATTGGGTCGAGTTGTCTTGCTCCGGCAGCTGCATTGCTGTTGAACTTCATTTTCTTTCCCTTCCGTGACATGCCTGGAGTAACTCTGTCGTCTATCATATCGTCCCCCAAGAGATCACATCCTCCTCCACCTGCTTGACCAACTTCTCGTTGTACGCATCCGCCTCCTTATTGAACTCCTCCTGAAGGTCTCGGACATTCTCTGGTACCTCCACAAGTTTGTTGTACGCACTGGGAATCGGCTCTCCCATGCGCTCCACCAGCGGAATATAGCCCGACCACACCTTGGCCATGACCTCGGCATTCTGAACATCCTCCTTGTCGTCCGCAGGCGGTCCTGCCCGCACCTTTGCACTCCCGCTGGTGACCCGAACCCGCAGGACCTGCGTCTGCACGAGTTCGGTCTTGTTGGGGGGTTGGCGGACCTGGTCCCACCGGCCGGGGATGATTTTGTTGGTGAGCATCTCCAGAGCCCACAGCTTCTCCGACTCGTCTGTGACGAGACTTGCGTGTCCAAACAGGACTGCAGAGCGGTAGTTGCACGAGTGCGTGAATGCGCTCAGAGATAGGACGAGGCCGTCGACCTTGGCGACAGAGAGGCAGACAGGCAAGCCGGGGAGTCCGTCGTCCATTGCCTTCCTAGCCAGGTTTGTCATCCGGGCGGAGATGTATCCATGGATGTAGGCGTCTTGAGGCTCGTTCAAGCCAGCACTGGGATAGTCAAAGTTGCCCAAGGCGCCAAGCATGGGAATAGTGCTAGGGAATGCATCTTGGGCGTCAGGTTGGAAGGAGACGTGGAAAACAAGCGATTGGTTCATGATGCTGTGGACTGTCTCGAGGTCGTACGCCGCTCGCTTGTCGGCCAGCCGGTGCACTTTGTTCTGCTCGCCGGCAGGATAGCTTAGCTGATTTCTCATCGTGGTGGCTGATGTGATGGTCAAGTAAGTAAGAACAGGTAAGTAAAAGAACCGACGTGAAGGATTTGAAATATACTGTCTACAATTGGAGTGACGGGTTCTTTTATAGGTACTATTACAACCCTTTTAAATCAATATAGGAAGCCGTCGGCTTTTCGGCTCATGTTAGCTGCCACGGACCTTAGAGTCATCGGGGTGAAAAGCCGAAAGAAAGCCTGCAGGAATCCTGAGAGGTCAAAGGCTGCGAGAAGAGCGGGGCTGACTCCGAGTCATCGGAGCAAAAAGCCTCTGCGCCAGTCTTTCCAGCATCTGTCACAATTCATCGGGAGCCAACTGTCTTCGGAGTAACAAAACGACATGCGGTCAGACCAGCCAAGGACGCCAAGACTTCGACGGAAGAAAGCGACGGCTTGTCAAAGATGCAGAGCGAGAAAGCAACGGTGCGATGGTCAGAACCAGGGTGCTTGCCGGAACTGCAGGTCAGCCAAAGCTGGTCAGTAGTATCATCTGCATTGTTGTTGTAGCTGCTAAGTGAAATTCTTAGAATGTGTACCAGCTACTAATGAGCCTACTGACACGTACTCGGTCTCGTATGTCGAGGATCTTGAGCAACAGGTCGCGAATTTACATGCTCGCCTCCCTGAACAAACTTCTGAGACAACGGCCCAAGTTCATACTGGTCCTGGTACGCTTCTGGCTCCAAACACACAAGCGAACATTTACGCAGAGGTCCAGGGCTTCAATGATCCTATAAACGCATTTTATCTGCCCCCAATACACTCCCACGGGAACACAGACTTTCCCTTTGACTTCTCATACCCAGACGAGAACCTGTTCTCTATCGTCCAGGAACCAACCACACAGGTAAATAACACGGTGGAACCAAGAAGCTACGAATTAGACACTTCGCAATCCATAGACGCATCAGCGGACGCCGCAATGGCTGATGTTTCGGTTCGCGAAGGCGCTTCGTTCTTCCAAACGTACTTTGAGACCATTCACCCTCGCTATCCCTTTCTCGACGTAGAGGAGTGCAGCACGGCATATCTCAAATGGAAAACGGGCGAGATGAAAATCTGTAGCAACAAAGACTGGCCCATGTGTCTTCTCAAGCTTGTATGTACTCGGTCTGCTTTCATGCCTGAAACTCACTCACGCGCGTGCAGATCATTGCCAACGGTGCCATTCTACAACTCGCATGGCTCGATCACACAGGCCGCCGACAGCGCCAGAAGTTGGATGTTGAAGAACAAAACATTTTATCGGATACTTCTTTTAACCCATCTAGGAGACTTCAGGTTTTGCTTCTCCAAGCGCTCCTTGCGCTCCATGGCGAAACCACTGAGCGGGTTGTGCATATTGTTGGTGTGGCGATGCGGTTTGCCATCCTGCATGGCTTTCATCGTCTCACCAACGATGGGACTCACGAAGCAGATATGAAGATCAAAGCTTGGTGGTCCATATACTGGTGAGATCAAGAACACGATCCTGGGTAACATCTGTCTAACACTGTTTAAGCCTGGACAAAGTTGCGGCGATAACATTACGCATTCCTCCCTATCCGCCGGACGAATGGATTGAGACACAATCATATGAAGCCAAGCCTGACCCTCAATTCTTCATGCCCTGGGCTGCTGACATACCGGGTCTCTCAGACGGAGTGCTATACAGTTTCGATCTACGTTACTTTGCCCATATGTGCAGGATCAGACGGCTTCACTCGGAGATACTTACCGCAATGCGAAGACTGCCTCCCGATTCCGAGATCTTACGTCTACGTGGGTTGCGAGCCGAGATCGACAAATGGACTAAATGTGAGGAGGTTTTCGCTAATGGGTACGTCTTTGAAAATTTGCAACTTTACTGGGCGGCTGACAACAGAAGCAGTCATCCGAATAGAGAGGGGCATGCAAGTCCTCTTGGCGTGGTTTATGTTGGACACATGACCCGATTCCTACTGTACAGCTCTGTCTCCGTTGAGGCCTCACCGGAAGTCGTGGATGAACTTCTTCAAGTCTGCTGTGACGCCTGTGCAACCTTTAGGGCTCTCCAAAAGAGAAAACATCTGCCCAGACATTGGTTTGATGTACGTTACCTGACAAGAAAAACGCAACCGTGTGCTGATCTTCTCAAGATGCTCTTCATATTCCAAATAGGTGTCACAATGATATACATCGTCTGGCGCCGGAACGTTACAGTATCAAAGGCTATTGACCGTGCTATTAGAGACTGTACGGCAATACTCTCCATTTTCGCTGACCGGTCGCAGAATGCAGACGTGTACCGCGACTGCATGGACCTTCTTGCGGGCAGTGTATCGAGAGCTGCTCAGCCTGTGAACATCGACGCGGAATCGAGGCGAGAGTTGGTAGTGCTAGTCGGCCAAATTGAGGAAAACAGACTGGCTTCTCATATACATTCCCAGCTGTTAGATATGTGTAGGGACAACACGAGTGATGGTCAATAAAGAAACAACCTCCTTGAATCCAATGATGATGTTCTACCTTTGAACGATCGATGACCGTCGTAGAGCTTAGAGCTTTGGCAGAACGTCACCAGACCATCAAACATGCTGTAATCTGATTGTGCTACTTTCGCCATCTTTGGAGTACTTCGATGTATCTAGACTGCTCATATCACTACCAAACAATGCGAGTGTTGTGCCTAAAGGTACCTGAAAATACCTGTGTCACCACCAGAGTGAATGTCTGCCTGAGGCTGCAGGCCAAACTCACCTCCTTCCGTCCTTCGTTCTTTCCATTTTGCCTGCCTCTCTTTTCTCCTGCATTCTTCTGCCTGAAGATCCAAATTCCTCGCAGAGCATCTTTTCCCGTCCTCGAACCATCTGCCATCATTTAACCAGCTGCAGAGACACCACTGCAGATCTCTCCTCCATCGTCCACTCCAAACATCTCCACCATGGGTCGCTGGGGACATCGTAAGTTCGCCGACACTCTACATGCCACTTCTTTAGCTGTCATCGTTGCTAATCACATTCCCTCTCAGGTCTTTTCGAAGGTGACCATGACATTGACATTGCCGGCGATCTGGGCGAGACTCTCAAGGGCAAGCCCCTCGAACTGAGCAGAATGGTCTTCCAGACCGACATGCTAGCCCCTCAGGAAGCACGAATGTTCTACCAAACCGACGAGTACAAGCCCATTCTCGAACAGGATGTTGCCGAAGTCCGCGCCCAGCTCGACTCGGGCCTCGGAGACTGCTTCTTCACAAAAGTCCTCGCCGAAGCCGAGAAGAACACCTTTGACGGCCCATACCGAATCATCATCGCCGGGGCCCTCATGATGCGCGCGGGCGCCAAGATCAAGCCCAACTACATCCAATACCTCCGTGGGCTGGTTCCCAAGATCCACTGCAACCATCGCTATGCCCTGCCCTTGTTTGACCAGGGATTCCGTGAGCCAGGCCGGGTTCAGTTCCTCAATGCCTTGGATAACTACGTTGATGGTACCCCGCGCGACTTCCAGGCACCCAGCTGCTTCACGTGTGGTCGGAGCGAGGTTGATCTTGGCTTTGCTCCCAAGAGGTGCTCCCGCTGCCGTGGCGCCTGGTATTGTTCCGAGGTCTGTCCTCTCTCCCTTTATCCTGCGGATTAAGTCTAACCACTTGCATTGATTAGAAATGCCAGAAAGCGCAGTGGGTCAACCACAAGCCTGCTTGCATCCCGCCCGAGAAGAAGTTCATGCTCAATGTCTGAACGGGAATCCAGACACTCAACTCCAAGATGAGGTGGAAATAACCTGCCTATGGATGAGTGGCGTTGAAGTGAGATCGGATGTTTTGGGAGACAGCGGCTACATTCTTCAAATTTCGAGTCAATCTAGGCGATAAAACCTCGAGGCATTAATGTATTGGAGCTATGTCTGATAGTTGGACCTTTGATCTTGCGTTGCCAGGCTTCGAACTTGTTATCAAGGAATGAAAACATTGAACACGGGCAATAGATAGTAATATCTGATTAGCTACCGTTCACTGTGACTCACCTGCATGCTGCCCACTGATACCCGGCTGACGAGAGGTAGAAACGGTTAGTATGCTTTGTGGTGGACGTATCCGTCAGCAATGACACTCGAGATGCCAAACCCGACCAGGAGCGGGAAATAGAAGAATCGTCGGGAAAAGGACAATAATTGATAATCAATTTCCAGGGTCGAAATAAGATATATAAGGGACTCTTTCCCAATAACTCAGCTTAGATTATAGAAACACTCATAATAATAATTCTATATTCACCACAACGACTTGGCATATTCTACCACCACCGAACGAAAAACACCACCATGGCTCCCTTAGTTTGGTTCATCACTGGCGGCAATTCAGGTTTCGGCCTCCTACTTGCCCAGCACGCCCTAGCCAAGGGCGACACCGTCATCGCCACGGCAAGAAGCGTCGCCAAGTTCCCAAGGGAGATCCTGACCTCCTCCGCACTCCTCGTGCAGATGGAAATCACAGAGTCCGAGGCTAACATTTCCACCGCCATCGATGACATGGTCGAGAAATACGGCCGCATCGACGTCCTCGTGAACAACGCCGGGTTCGGCCACGTCGGCGCCGTCGAGGAGATCTCGTCCGAGGAGGCGCGGTACCAGTTCGACGTCAACTTCTTTGGCCTGTACAATTTCACGAGAGCCGTGATCCCCCACATGAGGAAGCAGGGGTCCGGGGTCATTGTTCAGCTCTCCAGCGGTGCTGGTCTGCTGGGAGCTCTCGGCGGACCAGTCTACTCTGCGTCCAAATTTGCCGTTGAGGGGCTCACGGAGAGCATGGCCTTGGAGCTGCAGCCGTTTGGTATCAGGGTCCATCTGGTGGAGCCGGGCATCTTCAGGACGGATTTCCTGAAACCGGCGGCGGAGGGGAGGAACATGGGACAAAAGAAGGAGGGGTATTTTGATATTGGTGGCGCCATGGGCGGCATACACGGGAGCCAGCCTGGCAATCCGCAGCTTGGGGTCGAGAGGATTTATGAGTTGGTGACAGGGACGGGGATGGCTGCGGGCTTGCAGGACCAGTTGAGGATGCCAATGGGGTCGGACTGTTATGGCATGCTGAAGAAGAAGGTGGCTATGCTCAGTGAGACCCTTGAGAAGTTTGAAAAGATCGCGGCCAGCACGGATTATTAGGCAGGCAACCTTGGCTTGAGCATGGGTGCCAAAACTTAGGTATCCGAATTTTAGATCGAGACGAATGAAAGAGCGATAGATAAATATACCTAGAAAGACTGTAAAGAGCCGCGCTGTCTTATTGAATAAAGGCAATAGTGTCTTAATAACCCTTTTATTTCCATCGCCTTGTTCCACCGATCTAGGAGTAGGAGCCAGTATGTGGGCAGGGTATCAGAGGTTATCCCCTCAATGATCGCCTGAAATCAATACTGTACATCTAAGATAGCAATAATCAAACAATAATTAAATAGTAATCAAGCAGTAATCAAAATTCTCTCTCGCAATCCACAACAAAACAACTCCAGCTACAACTTTCCGTCCGAGGGTGCTGCGTCATTCAAATTTAGTTTTTCAATAGCAGCAATATCAGCCTTACTCGAAGCCGCGATTTCAGAAGCTCCTTTATCAGATGCTGCCTGCTTGCTATCTTCCCTCTGCGCCTCAGCGAAGCTTGGAGGAGGCGCAATCTCATCCGGCGGCACAATCCATGACTGTGCCGTTTCGCCATCCACCTGCCCATTGGATCCGGCGCTGCTGGCTGGGATCACGACCACCTCTTGAGTTCCGCGGACGGTGAAGCTCTCCCCGGCTATCTCTAATTGGGCCTTCCAAGACAACCGATGGCTAACTCGGACGTTAAATGTGGTGAATCCTGGTGATACTCTGGCTGGAAGACGAAGTCGAATCACGCTGCCGACATCTACCGGCGGAGTATTGCCTATCGCGCAGGGGATTTCAACTGACAGCGGACGGCCTCCAAACCCTTCGCTCTGTAAATCCAATTCGTCCTCCCAGTGTGCTTCGTGGGGGCGGAAGACACCTTCGCATCTAATGTTGCAGTGCGCCTCCAACGTAACTCTGAAGGTTACGAGCCTCGCCTTTTGGGGCACATCTCGGATAAGTTCAGTTGTGGCCGACCACATAGGCACGATACGCATGGGGAAGGGTATGGGAGAGTTGCTGATCTGGAGTAACCTTGGCGCGCTGACCTCTAGATTGAACGCGAACCTCGGTACCGAAGAGCTCCCAAAAAACTTCTTCATCTTCTCCTTCTTAGATAGTTCCGCATTCTCCATGCCCGGGACCAGGCGCTGAGTGGAGACAGATTGTTGAATCCTACGGCCGAGTGGGTTGAAATCAGCAACAGGAGGATTGGGGTTGAGGGGCGTGACATGAATTGGCACCACGGCGGTTTCCGTGTGCCAAGAGCCTTTTCGCTGGTATCGGATGGTAGCCTCGATGTAGTACTCGACGAAAGCCTCTCTTCGGCCATATCCAGAGCTAAAAGAAGCGGGAAGGGCCATCTGGCCGACCGATGCAGGATCAATGGGGATATATGACTCGGCTGCGTCATACTGCTGCGGAAACAGACGCGCATCGATGTTTGTGGGAATTGTGAGGGCGAACCCCCATTGCTGTGGCTCACCAACGCCTTCGGGGATATGCACCGGCCCCTGGAACACCTTCTGACCTGAATTGAGAAGGGTGAAGCGCCCGCGGTAGGTGTGGCTATTGTTGTTCCTTCTCACGACCATTTTGGATTTGGTCCGGCCATGGAGCACGACATGGACGGTGGCTTCAGGGCAGACCATGGCATTCCTCCGATGGACGGTCCCAACGACGGTATCTCCGGGGAGGTAGTTGGAGCGTTCGACCTGGACGCCCAGGTCGTGGTTCGATTTTGCAAGTGTTGAGGGCATCTTGAGCGGTTCAATGGTAGAAAATGGCAATAAGGCTGGAAGGATGAGAGGTGATCATATCATGGATGGAAGATTGAAAGATACAAACAACGTCATCTTACCTGTGATGCAGTGGCGCAGCAGCTAAAGCGCCATATTTGTAGCGCCTTTTAGGGAGGCGCAACGATCCTCGGCGCCTTCCTCATTAATTAACATTACTTACCCTACGCCGCACTTGTACATCACCAAGCGACTGGCATAAAACATGGCACATCTAGGTAGGTTGGTAGGTAAACACTTCAACGTTATTTCAACATAATATATAAACAATTAATCTTATAATAAATACAATATTAAGCTAAATATCAAAGAATAATTCTTCCTTCTCTTATTGTATTGAGTAGGGAACAAGGTCCCTCCCTTGCGTGAAAGATCTTCGTGTGCCATGTTTTATTTCACCCACCAGAAGTCTATATAAATCACTTGATATCACATTCGAGACCTTAGTTTGCTCGCCGCTGCAATAAATATTAGTACTATCACTCATTTTCTCGCATCATTGCCCATTATTTCCCATCAACAACCTGCCTCGATGGCCGGATAGGCAAGCCGCCCTTCTCGTAGGCCATGTCAACCATCCTCATCTGTGCAATGCTGTCCTCCCCAGTCACCCACGTCCTCGTCTCTCTCCCCTTGACGCGGTTGACAAACTGCTCCAACTGATGCCTATAGCTGATCCACCAGTCCTCTCCTGGACCTTCCAGCCCAGCCTCTTTGAACGTATACGCCTTGCGCGACGTCTTCTCTGTCCACTTCTTGACCACCTTGCCGGTCTCCCACTCGCGGAGCTCGAAGCTGTCCTCGATGTCGATCCGATGCCAGATAATCCCGACCATGAAGTTGAAGAGCACCACTTTCCTCGTCACCCACTTCTCCTGGCCCGGCGGCAAGCCCTCCTCCTCCACCTTGGTCTGCCGGTGTGTGACGTCCACGCGAGGCGCCCCGAACTGTGTCAGCTTGGCTTGTAGACTGCCCTCGGAGATGGCCGTCCCCCCATTCGCCATGCGCCACTTCGCGGTCCAGCTATGCTCGATCTTGCCCTCTGTGCCCGGCATGAGCTTGAAGTCGGCCTCGATGCACTCCTCCGGTTCGACGCCGAACGTCTGCCGCAGCGCACTGATGCCGTACGCACCGAAGTCCATGACCGCGCCGCCCGCCAGGTCGAACTGGAACCGGATGTCGTCCTTGGCGAAGATGATGGAGGGCACGAACCCGCAGGTGTACGCCGACTCGATGTTGGGTTGATCGAGAAGCGTCAGGAAGAGCTGCCAGTGGGGTTGGAAGCGGTAGTGGAACGCCTCGAGTATGACCGGGCTGTTGGGCTCCTTCAAAAGCGGCGAGTTGAACAGCAGCTCGGCCTCCTTGGCATTGGAGACTGATGGCTTCTCCACGAGCACATGCTTGCCCGCCTGTAGGGCCTTGATCGCCCACTCATAGTGCAGCCCGTTGGGGAGAGGGATGTAGACGCAGTCGATCTTGGGGTCGTCGAGGATGGCCTGGTAGCTGTCCTTGACCTCGTGGATGCCGTGCTTGGCTGCGTAGGCTGTCGCCTTGGCGCGATCGCGTGCTGCGACAGCTTGGATGACGACCTCGGGGTGCGACTTGGCGGGGGAGATGAACGCGTACGGCCTACAGAGGGTAGTTAGCTGGTGAACGCCGGGCACGATTCATCTAAGCATGGTGTTTGCGTACGCGACGTTGGCAGCGCCCAGGATGCCAAAGCGCAGTGCTTGGTCGCTCTTTGTCGCAACAGGCGGGCTCACCGTCCCGCGGTAGTTCCGACGCAATAGTCCTACGATCTGCGACATGATGCGAGCAGTGAACGGAGGATCAATTGTTGTGATTGAGAGAGTTCTGAGACAGCGGCGGGCATTGCGTCCTTATGAGGTCAAGGACTCATAAATCCGCCGCCAAAGCCGATGTCCGCCAACCAATTCCCCGAATCTGTGACACAGGACCAGCAAACATTTCAGCTAGCTCCAAACCGGATGGTGTTATTCTCAACACCGCGCTGCCCTGATTCATTGGCTGAATCCCTGGGAAATGCGTCGCAATATGCACGAAGGATCGGGTTTGCCGCAAACTCCGTCCCGCCCAGCATTCTGATCCTGATGAAGCGGATACGCGTATCTACTGTTCTTGAATGAGCCTCAAAGCAATGGTCTCAAAGCAGTGATCCTCAGGATCCAGTGAGAAAGCTTTTGCCCTAAGAGGCTTCTCTCCATCAATTGATTGGCTATATGATTTTTCTTCTGTTACACTGGCCAAGTTTCTGACGATTATCTTTGGGTCTCGCCTGAGAGATGACAGGCCTCCGTGCAGAATGCGACGATAAAGTTGGCAACCAGGTGAGTATCGAAATATTGCCCAATGAGGCGAGAGATGAGAATTCTGAGCGCCGCGGATGGATTGATGCCAATGATGTTGTTGACACCGTGCTGCTCTCTCTAACGCTTGGCAAGTAAAACCTGGGAACTCGGTGAAGCTGACTCGGGATGTCAAGGCCGAGAAATCATTATCTGCCAGAGAACAGATAATGGCGGGAAACAGGTATAGGGACATCGATAAAGAGAATCAACTCGTAGTAATCCGGCTTATGTTTAAGTCTATCCTGTCCCTGTTTGTTTTCAACTCGGGCCACTCACTGATATGGATCAATAGCCTCAGCTCGGAGCTGACGAGCTGGAATGAGGTGAGTGCAATCTTGTCGGACATTTCACAGGCTTTCCGGAATCAATAAAGTATTCTGTGGTGGGCAGTTTCAGGTTTGTGCAAAGAATATATCTTCACTATTTAGGTCACTGTTGGGTTTGGATTTACATGCTTTCGGGGCTTCAGCTCATTTAGAAAACCGAAATGGCAAACTAAAGAGGGAAACTCAAAGAGCCCGGAAAATCTCCAACTCATCCTTGGTTCAATAAGAAAACGTCATTCAAGATTGAGTCTGATGAAGCCCCCTCACCCATTCAGCCCATTTTCCTGCCTCACTCCTCCTAAAGTTGTTTTCTCCCACTGAGGCCATTGCACTCTTACTCTTGGTCAAATATAACGCGGAACTGGGTGCCGCGCTTGGTGACTTCGGTGGTGCCCCTGGTCTGAGGTGAGGACACAACGTCGTAGAGGCGGGTGCCATCGCCCGCGTTAAAGGTGAGCTTGATCTTGCGCGCTGAGTTGGCGGGATCCGTGTTCCACCAATTAATCTGGTAGCGGTCGCTGCCGAGGTTGTTGACCTGGGTTTGGAAGCTGATGGTGCCGAGGTTGACACTGCTGGAAGGCCAGTCGACCGTTTGATCGTACAAGGCTCTCTCGACGAGAATGGCGATATCCTGGGCGGATTGCTCGGGGGAGCGGTTGACAACCTCTCCCACTTCCCGCTCAGTGACGCTGAGACTATTGCCTTGGGCGTCGATGTTCAGAGCAGACGGCAGGGCGACTGCCACCGAAAGGAGACCGAGGACAGCGGAAAAATGCATGATGAACAACTCGAGCTAAATGAAATCACAGGTGTATAGTGCTTGACAATATTTTGAGGAGGTGTATTACTCGATACATTGAGGCTTAGAAGGTATATATACACGTCTTGAGTTGCGAAGAGACCCCCGGATGCGGCCTGGACAACTTGATGTCGTATTAGCAACCCATTTTGTCACGGACGATCAAATAATGGCGAAATTTGATGAATGCAACGCAGCCATCTAGACAGAACCACTCCACTGGCGGAAAAAATGGTGAGTTTGTTCATTATGTCCGTTCAAACTGTTAGCGTTGCAGTGCGTCTCTTGGCAGTAGACGCTATTTGGCAAAGCTCCTCTATTTTATGGTGTGCTTTTTTGGCAGATGAGGTGTATAGTAGCTTTTTGTTGCTATGTGGTGCAATGTCAGGCATTTTGCTGAACTACGAATCGGTCAATATACCTGAAAGAAGCAGGTTCCGTGAACTGTTGTGAAATGTCGTCATGTAGAGGAGACGAAGGCCTGCGTTTCAGGTGGCATGAATTTGAAAGCGAAACCGAATGTAACCATATAGAGGATACAATATGCATTATTCCGGAGACGTACTCTGAAAGCGTCTTTAAAGAGTAATTATCACCCATGTACTAGTGACTATGCAGGAATTCGTGATGTTCCCGGCCAAGTGCATCGGTCCCCGGGAGCTTAGGCACGGCTTAACAAAGCATTAGTAAACGGATGATCGGACGACAATATGGACCGCCGGTCAATCCAGGAAACAATGGCCCTTGGAGTATCCCAGTAAGCACTCCTTATAGGGCGTAAAAGTGCCCACTGTAACCTATGAGGACTTCGGGAATACGGACAGGCCAGTTGGCCCAGTTCAAAGTAGTAGCTCTTCCGACAAGAATATGTTGCGAGGTATTGAGCATAAACATGTCTTACCAAATTCAGCAGGTCCATTTATCTTGGACCGAAGACAGCGAATGATTTTTGATTCAATGACACGACCTCTAGGGAACCAATGGAGGGGAGTATCACCTTGAATCAGAGTAAGGTTTGAGAGCATGGAATAGGCTGCTGTGGCAGGCTAGCACCGCATATAACAATTGATTTTGCGAAATTGGATTTTGAAACAAGTCGCCAGGAGATTCACCGATTGTCATTCGACCAGGCGGTGCCAGCAATATGAAAGAAATTCCTTGTCAAAGCTGTGGTGTAGCCTTTATCATCACCAACCCACCCGTCGTGCCTCACTTTTGATGCTATGTCTTAACTGCAACGATGGCATTTATGGATGAGGCATCAACTGGCCAGCATGTCCAACTAAATCATCCGAGGCTTGGATGCTGGAGGCAAGCCCAGGGAGGACAAGCCCCGTTTTTGTGGCGGAATATTATTAGATTGTATGCATGGCTATGCATACTAACAACCGTAGTCGTAGCCTATTGTCTTCATAGGATGATAATAGACAGCTAAACCCACCTTCTACGAATTGACTATGGGTATGAATGACGCCTAGGCCAGGCCTGCCGCTACTGCCTGCCACGGCGAGAGACGGCTAGGGCAGGTCCCCACGAAATAACCATCTTACCTACCACGTGGGCTATATCACGAAAAGCTTCTATTAGCCAGTTGGGCCGATGTACATTATGGACTAGTGGTGAGTACGTAGTAGCAGATCATGTTTTGCACTATCGGCCTAATATAACAGACCAAGCTGTAAATCAGCGGTGGCTAAGTTTGTACAAGTGGTAGGCTAAGCAAACATTCATGTCCCAAAGAAAGCCATCGCTACCTCAAGGCAAGTTCTCATGAATATTATTGTTGAATACAAGTGTCATCCACCAGAAAGGGCTGCCCCATCGGCGTTATCCGTAAACACCAAGAAGATGGACGTGCGACTGCTCATGGAGTTTCTCGCCAAGAGAAAAGGAAAGATTACCATTTAGGCTCCAATGGACCCAACAATCCCAGGCAATGTCATCCAAGTATTATGCTAAGAACAGGAATTTGGTCTGAGCGTGTCGATCTCAAACTTTACTTTTGCGCTAGGTGCCGAAATCACGCATTGATTTGTGCGGGGTGTGGTCTTTTCTTTTTCTTCCATTGCCTCAACTCTTGCAATGTTCTTTGCTTTTTCTCTTAGCGTACATCCCACAGCGGTGGTGTACAGCTTGGGTTTGAATAAACACCTTTCCTGCGTCGATCGTGGCATTGCTGCAGGGATAACGTCGATCACGAGGCGTACGACCAGGAAAACAAGGAATCGACAGGTCAAAGGGGGCATTACGGCTATCGCTGGCAATGTGGCTGGTTGTAACCACACGTATAGTGAGAGATTAACAACATGGATAAATAATGCTCGACCCATGTGTTTGGTTGGTTGACGACATGATCGACAAGGCACCAACTACGGTGGAAGTCTGCACATCAGTTGCCAATACGTACTAACCACGTTCAATCTTGCACTGTTCTCCTGAATCTCGGAGCTGGCCCTTTCCGCGTGGGGCTCCCCAAAGCCAAGTTTTGCCCATACGCACACCATTTGTTCAGCAGCTCGCTCAGTCACATTTGCCAAGAGAGCAACAGCACCGCTCATTTGCCGGCCGCAGAATCCAAGAAGCTAGGGCGAGCGGCAGGCAAGCCCGAATCCACCCAATATTGTGGTCAAAGAGCAGTGCTACTCCCGGCAAGGAAATGGACACGCCACACGATGACTGAATGTCTCTGGATCTGAGATCGACCTGGTCATTGCCGGTCTAGGCTTGACGGACTATGTTGATCTTCAGCTGGGGCTTTTCAGCTCCACCATTAGCCTCACATCCGGCCAACCCAACTGTGCCCGTGCCCTCCTAGCTTCAGTCTACCTAGGCGAGATCTAGTGCCAGCATCCAGTTGTTCTTGAGGCAAGCAAATAAAGTAAATGCCAAGCGTCCGAAGAGAATCGGGGAAACAAAATCACGGGGTCCCATTGAGGGGAAAGACAAGGGTCTCAAAAGCTGGGACGCGAGCCTAAAAATGCTCTTGCATGTCTTGGTCTAACCCCAGTGGCGATCAGGAAAAAGGAAAAAGGAGGCGATAGACAATCCCAAAACACCGAGTGAGGCCGCCACTTGGTCAATCCGGTTTCTATCTAACCGCCAGGTCCCCCTTCCAATCCTCACCACATGGAGAGCTGCCCCTCTTCCCGTCAAGCAACAAAGTTGAGACATCCAGACACTCTTTTTTAAAATCGCCGTTCCCTTCCTGTACGCTTCGTCATTCCTTTCAACCTTTCACACTCATTGACGGCCCAACATCGATCTGTTCAGCATGGACGGAGTTCCAAACTTCACTATCTACAACCTCCCGCCCAGCCCGCCAAGATGGGACAACATCGGGATCTTCTTCATATGCTTCTGTTGCATATGGACCACCTTCGTCTTTGCCGGCATGGCATTTTGCTGGTACAACCGCAATAGTCCGATTCTCAAGATCCGTGGCCTCCCACTCTCCTTTACAGCAATCCTTTTCCTGCATTCGTATTGGGTGCTCGCCCAACTTGTCTACCCCATCGGGGGCACCATGTCCGTTGTTCTCGCCTACGACATCCAGTACTTCTTCATGGGCATCTGGTTCCCTCTGGGCATTGCCTTGTTTCACGCCTCAAATAGCCGCTTTCTATGCGTGGCCAAGCTGCAAAAGCAGTTCACCAATGATCACCAGATACAAGTACGATGCAACGGCGGAGGGTCATCGTGGCTTTGCCGCTTCAGGAACATAAGCTACTCATTCAGAATCATGACCTTCATTGGCCTCGGTATGATCGCGCAGGTATGTTACTCTGATGGATAATCTTACGACGACACATCATGCTGATTGAGCTCTAGGTTCTTCTGACCGTCGGCATGTGGCTCGCCTGTCGCAAATATCATCCTACATTCGGCATCCCGGGGACTGAGATCCGAGGCGCAACGCTTCCAGAACAAATGGTCGACTTGGGTAGAGGTTGGGAATGGTGGCCTTCAGTCCTTTGGCAGGTCATCTGGACATGGATGGTATGTGGCCTGTCGTACCCCTTCTGGATTTATTCATACTGATTACCTTCCAAGGTGGCACCTTATCTGCTCTGGCGCGCTTGGGGCATTCGTGATACCATGGGATGGAGGGCTCAGACCATTGGCTGCTGTATCTCTAAGTAAGTTACTGACTTCCCTAACGTTTGGATCTCAAGATACTGACCGACCATGGAATAGCCTTCACGCCACTCCCATGTTTCTGATCGCACAATATGTCCCCGCCTTTGCACCGGTCAACATGTACTATCCGCCCAGTCAATGGTAAGAATCTCCCAATCCAAATAATAGAAGACACTTGGCACGAATGGTCGCGCTGACTTTGTGTAGGATCCATCTATCCGTTATGATGTTCGAGATTTTCACTGTTTTCGTCCCCGTATTCCAGGTGATCAAGTTGAACATCCAACGCCGAAAGGTGGCGGCCTCAAACGAGAAATGGGAGTCATCCTCCCAGATCACAATGTTTGGCTCTATCCAGCTATCTGATCAGGAGCGCAAGGGGTCGACGTCAAGTAGGGGCAAGAGCGACATCATGGACAACCTCCTTAACAACGAGATGAGTGACCACCTCTACACGATCGGCGCTCTCGACTACGTCCTCAGAGAGAATCCCACGCCGCTTCAGAATTTCTCGGCTCTTAGCGACTTTTCCGGAGAGAATATTGCCTTTCTAACTCGGGCTGCTGCGTGGAAGAATACCTTTTCTGGTGATTTTCGGGGAGAGAAAGAACTGGACGCATACAATGCTGCTCTTCAACTCTACACCGAATTCATTAGCCCGCGAGACGCCGAGTTTCCGCTCAATCTGTCGGGACCAGAGCTCAGGCGGCTTGAGGATATATTCGAGGCACCCACCCGTATCCTGTGCGGCGAGCCAGTGGTCAACACCGCGACTCCCTTCGACATTGAGCAACCTCCACCTACCGGAACAAGCGACGGATGCTCTTCGGGGAGCAACTCTAGCACTACGCGCCTGCGAGCCAAGTACACTGGAGAAATCCCACCGGGATTCGATCATCTGGTTTTCGATAGCACATGTAGCCATGTCAAGTATCTAGTTCTGACCAACACCTGGCCCAAGTTTGTCGACGACATGAGAAACCAGAGCCGACGCTCGAGCGAGTCTGGCAGAACGTTTGACTCGAATGATTCGGATCAGACACTGGCCAGTCGCGTTACGACCTACGTTCGTTCTATGTTTTAAGTACTTTGTGTGGAGCGTTCCTGCGATCTGAGTATTGCCCATTGGGTATGGTGTATGTGTTGTTTTAAGGCTACTGTGGGAGGAATGAGGAGTCAAAAACTAGGTTGACCATCCTCCTCTGATCATTTTGTGAAGGTCGGCTGTTTAGAAGATGTTTATCTTCTTATCCGTGTACATCTTGGCCGTATAATATTAATTGAATAAAACAAATATTATTAGACTGACGAATAACTGGCCAGTGACCGATAAGGAATTATCCTTTGCCCAAAATCCAACTTACGCGCCTCACCACGCGATATTCGCACCACTAAACTAATTTTGCCTCTATAATATTATCTGTGTTTCAATCAATCTCTCTAAGTTCTTCCGCTGTATGGACATGATGATGCCAACTCCATAGATGCAATGAGGTTAGCCACCAGAAAGCCGCACCCCAACACAGGTCCATTTCAATCCATGTTTTGAATAAAATTCATGTGGTAGGTGATTTAGTAGAATAGTAAATTTAAAAAGTTTTCTAAGTATCAGAAGATTTAGAACAACCCTTTCAAGTATCCGTGCCAGTTGTCCAGAGGGGCCTCAGCCTCTACGATCTTCCAAACGGCATCAGCCCGCTTTGCGATATCGCTTTCAAGTGGCCCTGTCTTAAAGAACTTGATGGTGTTCTTCAACTAAGCTACACTGCTAGCGCTGAAGATAATTCCGTCGCCATGCTCACCACTAAGCGCAGAGTGGAAAATGATCCACCGATATGCCAGTTCGGCCCTCGGGATTCCCGCCTGCTCAGCAATTTCGCCCCATGCATCCAGCGCCTTGAGGTAGGAAGGCTTATTGAAGAGGGCATTGTAGACTGTTCCAACGAAATTGTTGGGGTCAAACCGCCCAGTTCCTTTGAGGAGTTCCTCCCTAGACTTTGCAAGTAGGCCACCACTGATCGGCCCATATGCAACGTAGCGGATTCCCAACTTGCGAAGTAGAGGAATGAGCTCCTTCTCGGCGACACGACTGACGGCGCTGTAAGAGCCTTGGTAGACGGTCGGAAGAACACAGTTGTTCGACTTGGCAGCGTTGTAAAACTCTTCCAACTCCTCGGGAGTGAAATTGCAGAGGCCGAGATGCTTGAATGCACCTTGTTTGTACAAGGCATCGTATGCTTTGACTTGGTCGGACACGGGCACCGAATTGTCAGGCGCATGAAGATAAAAGATTTCGACCTTATGCGCAATGAGTGTCAGCGATATTCCGTCATGAATAAACTAAAGAGGCGGATACGTCACCTACTTGGTCCACGTTCAGCTTTCGAAGACGTTCTTGGCCAGCTTCGATGATTGCATCATGCTGCCTTCCAGGGCTAGCACCTCCAGCGACCTTGGCATGAATCTCGAATTTGTCTGTAGCTTTCAGATATGCAAGCTCATCCTCACACCCTGGGTACATCTCAGAAGTATCCAAGACCGTGATGCCTTCGGCCAAGAGAACATCCAGCTGTTGTCTCGCAACATCACGAAAGGACTCGGGGCCAATGCCGGCCGCACCGAAAATGACTTGAAGTCCGTTCGATGTATGCATTATGATTATATCGATATTCAAATTTTGATGTTAGATTTTATGGCAAGATGAAAATTTATTTACAATCCAGCATAGAAGGCTTGAGCAATGCCGTATTTATAGAGACGAAATCGACGAATCCACATCCAGGATGTCAATTTGTGAAAGTAGAAAGCCCGTTCAACTTGCTGATAAATCACTCATTGTCTCGACTTAACTGATTCATTTACTTCATTCAGAATGTTGTTTGGCCCAACTGGCTGGATACCGAGCCATAGAGCCAGGAAGCCCACCCAAACAACGGAGCACTGGGGTAACAAGGACATGGGTCGAATAGCTGTGTTAATCGTAATTGGCTCGCTCGGAAAACTATTCTACTCCAAGACTAGCTTTGGCATCCACTCAATAGCTTCTTATTGGCAAATTGAGGTGAAGGAAGCCATGTTCCTAAAACTAGCAATACAGGATGAACAGTCTGGACTGCTAGAAGATAAATTAAAGAAAATACTTGGCATGCCATATGCTGCCTTAGCCATCCGGAATCGAATCACGGTTTCACAGGCGAGTACTCTTCTTTGTAATACTGGAGTGAACCACCGTGAGACATTTGGGGAGCGATCTGTCTTATCAATACAGCTCAAACGTTATGCTACTCTGAAAGGCTTATCTGCTATTATGACTTTAAACAGAATTTGAGTATATCATAAGAGGTGCAGCTCTGAGATAATGTGGTATGGAGATAAGAGCGAAGGCGGGAGCTGATGGTAGGTGGCTCGGCGAAAAATCGCCGACGAGACAGACTTCTCCCCACAATATTCCGAAGTCGGGCGAATTTGACTTTGCCTCTGCATCTTGATTCATGCCATGGCTCTCAGATTATCTCGTGCTTTCTGAGTTGGGTCGAACTGCCGCCCACCGCCACAAATCTGCATCATTGCTATTAGTCCCTTGACGATCACTCTGAAATCATGGCTGATACCACAATCCGAGCGTGTGTACGATGTCACAGGAAGAAGGTCAAGGTAAGAAACATGTCGCTCTCGACATTGACCCTGGTTCGGCGGTTCAAGGCCGATTGGCTTACACTCTCTAGTGCACTGGTTTTCCAGACTGCCTGAAATGCAGCGAAGCATCTGTCCAATGCGAGCTGTATACCAGACTTAGAAAAGCGGACACTATGCGGTAAGCTGTGATTCTAGTCCTACACATATTCCATCCAGTCTCTCATTCATATCAGAGCTCTCAGGGGAGCCGAAAAGAGAGTAGAATGGCTCGAGAAAGAGCTCTCCCGGGAGGTCGGTATGGATTGTCAGAGTCTTCCTACGGGGACTTCCACAAAAAGGCATCCACGGCAATCGAATAGAGGACTTCCGAACTCTGCTCCAGAGCCATCAACTGCCAGCTCTCCCGTTGGCTCAGCAAATAGAAACCTTGAGCCCTATAATATGTCGCCAATGGAATCCCATAACCTAGCTGGCGTGGAGGTTAATTCTCCAGCAAGAAGCGACGCACCGGATATCAGCCTGCTAGCTCTGAATGCTACCGGTGAGCAGAGATATCTAGGTCCATCTAGCGGAGCTTTCTTCTCAAGTTATGCAACGGCACTATTACAATCATGCGAGCCTTCAATGGCATCTGTCCTCCACCCTGGTAAGACAAGAGGCGCAAATCAGGCGCAAGCACGTTTCAGGGATGACCAGCTACCTCTTCAGCCGGATGCCATCGCCTTGCTTAAAAAGTCCTACGAGATGTGGGTGCAACCCCTATATCCTTTATTGAGCCATGAAGCCCTGGATGATCTCGCAAATAGATGCGGCAAACTGCAAAATGCACCTTTTTCGGAGTTGGTACAGAGCCCAGAGAGCTGCAGTGAGATGGCAGTGTTTTATTTGGCCATGGCTCTAGGAGCGGCCAACCATATGAGCACTTGCACGCAACTCGGATCAAATCAAGGTAGAAGAGGCTTCCAGGGGGCGTCGCTACCAGTGCCCTCCTCGACTCGGCTCTACTCCGTGGCGTTGCAATACTTGAGTACTCTAGGAAAAGACTTCCACTCCAGTCCTGCGTTTATTCAAATACTGCTTCTTGTCTGTATATATAGCTCATATGGCCCGATCGAGTCCAGCCAATGGCAGATGGCTGGCTTAGCGATGCGAGTGAGTGGCGTGTCTTCTCCTATGCATCATAAGTAATGAACCAAAGTTAACTTAACAGACGGCCATTGAGATAGGGTTGCACAATAAACCCAAGGACTGGAATACATCTGAGGAAGAGAGGGACTGGAAGAATAGGATATTTTGGACAGCCTATTCAATTGAGATAAGTCTTTGTTACAATCTTGGACGACCTCCTTCTATCAGCGAAGAACACATCACGGCGGACTTGCCATTGCATTCACCACAGACAGCATTTGCGATCCGGCATATTACCCATCGTCAGATACAAAGCCGTATTATATCCAAGGTCTATTCTAGCGCCTCTAGTATACGAGGCCAATCCCTTCAGCTTCGACAAGACCAGATAGCAGATTTGCAGTCGGAGCTCGACGATTGGAGAGTTTCAATGTCAGTCCTATGCTCGGAAAATCCAGAGTTCACGTACCCGTTCAGGTATTTAAAGCTCTACAACATTGCGGTTTTCCTCGACCCCTTTCTAATCATCAACACAACTAGCTATTGGGACAGGCTCTACCACGGTACTTCATTTGTGCTTCATAGAAGGAGCCCGCTTTGCCCGAATCCTTCAACCACGTCATTAGAGCGCTGCATTCGATCTTCAGGTGCTTATATTGACAATGTTCTTGATATTCTTCGAACCAGCAATGTTCCCCTCTCATGGATGCTTGTGCAGGGTGTTCTATTTGCCGGTCTCACTATGGCAGTGACCGCCCAAACAAGCTATTCCCAAATATCTTCAACCTCGGGCCCCTCTCTTCTTCTGGTCGACTTTCCCGCGTGGACTAGGAAGTGCTCCGTATGTCTAGCAATAATGAACGAACGGTGGAACGATGACCTTTTATTCAAACTAGATGCTCAATTCGAGGTTCTTGCCGACAGTATTCAAAGAACGATTTCTACCGGGCTCGCATTTCCCACAACAGGCAGACCTGAGACTACGCATTCCTTAGGAGAGAGCGATAGGAATGATGATTCACAAGCAGATGGCTCATTGCCTTTCGCTTCATCCTTCTTCGACCTCGGAATGACCGATCCTTGGGAGACAATGGACCCTTTTGGGCAGATTCTAGGAATTTCCGGGTCTCAGTCTTTTTGGGATATCTTCCCGCAAGACTCTCGGAACAATGAGAACGTTCAAGGTTGGGACCAAAATTTAGGAAGCACTTAAGCAGATTGTGTCATAGAACCAGATATCGGGTTCTTCATTACGTGGCAATTCTTACATCAATATAATTTCATCAATTTCAAAGTGTCTCGTGAAATGCTCAATCGGAAAAGACTGAGAAAATATCACACGTTCTTGAGCTTTGCCACGGCATTCTCTAGTGCCACTATCGCCTTTTCAAGTAAAGGCAGCTCGATCGCCGCAGTGGCTTCCCCATCCAATGCTTGAGATAATAACTCGTATCCACGAGTGTAACGCTCTTCTTGGTCCTTGAAATAGAGATAGCTCGTTGCCATCCTCAAACGGTAGCGGCCACTCAGGACACCTTCGTCATCTTCTCCAAACACCGACCCTGGCAACGCTGCCACACCACACTCTTCGATGAGCCAACGGGACAGCTGACGGCTCGTATGAATACCTAATGACTCCAACTGCTTGCTATATGGATAAAAGGATGGGTACAGGTAAAAGGCACCCTTTGGCGCTGCCACGGCAAGTCCGCAGTTCTTCAGTGCTTCATATAGTCTGCTTGTGCAATGCTTGTGGAGGTTAGTTAGCTGGGAGCGATAACTGTCCATCTCTGGAGTGGTGTCAAAGGCGACGGCCGCAGCTTCTTGAGCAGGGGCCGAGGCAGCAGACCAACATTCAGACGCATACGCCAATATCGCTTTCTGCAAAGTCGTGCCAAACGTGTTAGGGGGGAAGATTGCGAATCCGACACGCCAGCCACCAGCGGAGTAGGTCTGTATCAGCGTGTCAGTAAAGTACAAAGGCAAAACTTGAATAGCGCAAAGTCTATGGCTTACCTTGGACAAGCCACCGGTGAGAACCATTTGGCCCGCGTTGAATTTGTCCTCAGTACACGAGGTGGTCGAATAGTCTTCATGATAACAAATATCGGAGTATATCTCATCGCTGATTAATGTGATCTTCTTCTCTTTACAGAAAGATGTAATTGTTTCAAGGGTTTGCTTGGAAAAGGCTTGTCCGGTTGGATTTGAGGGCGAATTGATGAGCATGATTCGGGGGTCAGTACCCTCCGAAATAGCCTTTTCATATGCGGTATTCAGTGATGAGTCTTCGTATGTCAAGTGTCAGATCACTTATTACATGCGTCTTTACCTGTGATATAACTCACCTGTGATCGTATGGCGGTCTTTTTCGTCTGTCTCAACCCAGTAAAGTTGCTTCCCAGCGTGCTTCACTTGAGGCTCGTAACTGACCCAGGACGGGCGAGGAAGCAATGCATCTCCACTGAGAATGTCGAAAAGAGCGAACAGTAACGGCTTCGAGCCAGGCGCGATAACAACCTGCTCTGGACTAACACTAAAGCCCAGTCGGCGAGTCTGAAATCGAGCAACGGACTATAAGACGTACGTAGACAGTTCCTTAGCCTCATGGATTAAGAAAAAAAACACTCAAATCATTCATGGCGTGCTACATACTTCTCGAAGCTTCCAAAGACCAGCCACAGGCAGGTAGCTGGTGTTTGCGCTGGCCTTTTCATGCGCAGCTCGCACGCTCTTGGGGATGGGGAAAGTTGCTTCTCCGAATCCTAGGTGAACCACCGGCTTGCCCATATCAAGCTGCTTCCTAACGAGCTCATTGATCTCGAGAGTAGCAGAGAGGCGAAGCTCTTGGGCTTGGGCTGTGAGGAAGCCGGCCTCTGATCCGTCTGTCGGTCCCATCTTGATTGACTGAGCAAATCTGATGAATGACTTGATAAGTGTATCCTTGACCTGGCTGTAATTGGAATTTTACGAAGGACGAGTGTGTTTATATAGTTAGCTGGGTGTTCCGATGTAAATCTCGCGCCGATTCGGGGTTGGAAAGAACCGCAGTTGATCTCGGAGTAAAATCGCCGGTGTACCATCAGTGGGTTGGATGCGGCCATTTACCGCCGAAAATACTAAATTGTGATGTAACACTGAGAAGATACTTCGTATCTCTTGTTCAATAAAACACTGGTCTTGTATTCTCTACTAGAACGGTGCATCTAAGGCGCACTAGCTAAGTAGAGGTGGCTCTTTCACGCCAGTTTGTTCCGAAAGAAGTGAATAATGCTCAATCCTCCTGTGCCTACCGAAGGCAAATACTCTCTCTTTTCCCTTCCTGCACGTGGCCAGGTCAATTGTTGCAATGACAAGCTCATCTTCGTGTGACTTCGATTCCGCGATGATGTGCCCGTTTGGATCGATAATGCTAGACCCGGCAATCATCTTTCCATGGTCCTCCCAGCCAGCTTTGGCGACGTTGATGCTATAGCACGCGTTGGTGTAACTGCCGCTCTGGCATGATAGACGGTGGTGAAAGAGAGCCTCGGCTTCTTGCTCTGCTTCGTCGCCAGCATATTGAGGCGCATAAGCAGTGGTATTATAGCCCTCCTGTTAGAAGATGAATTACATTAATTATTTTTCCTGAGACTAAGGGCAAGTTGACAAGGTTGAGGACTTACCAGCAAGATTTCTATTCCTTGAAGCCCGTAGCATCTCCATCCTTCGGCCCAGCGGCGGTCATTGCAGATGAGCATGCCTACAATAGGGTCCCCCTTCCCCTCTAGGTCTTGTTCAGAAACAACATCTGCTGCCTTCAGCGCGCCGTCGACTAGATCAGGGACCCGGAATGCCTGGAATCCAAGGTCGCCTGGTGTGAAATAGCGCTTCTCGAGCTGTTGTATTACATTGGGTCGAGTATCGATGTCGACGCGACCTGGCAGATGAACTTTTCTATACTTCGCTATTCCCCTCTTTTGGGTCGCAGAGTAGTAAATTGCAGAATTGAAATCAGTCACTTTGCCATCTTCAGAGGTGAAACGTTCCCCAAATCCAAAGCTGACATCGACGCCAAGCTCATTCGCCCTCTCAATCAAGGGCTTGACGTTGGGCGAGTTGATGACTGCATAAGGTTCTGCCTGTGAAGTGGCCTCGAAGTATCTTGCGAGCTTGTCTGGATCTTCAATGATGTGCGAGGGGAAGAATGTGGTAAATGCAAGCTCGGGGTACACAACCAGTCGGGCGCCCGCTTTAGCAGCTTCGTCAAGCAGGGTGATCATACGACCGAGTGTCTCTTGCCGGGGGGTGTCGAGACTCTTGACGGGCCCAAGCTGTGCAGCTGCCACGGTGATGATCCTCGGCTTTGAACCCATGTTGTGCTTGGGGCTCTTCAATATGCTGTTACAGTTCCAGATTGCACGTATCCCGTGCTAGGTTGATTTTACAGCGTAAGCGTTTCTGGATGTGAAATAATATCTTCGTCTTGGCTGATATCACTGATCGGCAAAGATTGGCCGGTCTTCATGCAGTCGGCATGTGACTTTATATCGGCACGGCAATCGTTAGCCGTCGCCGAGTCTGGAGAGCCGAGTGGTGGACTGGTTAATAATACTTGCAAACGATACAGACACATATTATTAAAATGATACTCCATCCAAGACCTTTTATAGATACTGACAGAGTAATAGAACCGCCTAACGGCCACCACCTCTGAATGAACGGTGCCGGCATATATACACAGTAGATAGGATAAAAATGAATTCACACGAGCAACAATCGGGACCGTATATCGAACGATGTCGTTTCATCCATTCATTATCAGAGTCCGAAAGCAAGAGGCTTTTGTACGGGCCATTCTTTCTCAAAGGATGGGAATTTTCTATTCATCGCCTCCTTTCTTTCTCAAATAACATGATTTTAATTTACTAATTATGCTATTTCTGTTAGAAGATAGAGGAATTCCAGCTAGTTAATTAGGAAGTATAGATCAGAAACCCAGTATATATCCTTATCTCTATAGACCCTAGTAATAACTAGAAAAGTAACTTCCTACTATTTATATATCTTAGAGGCCTAAGCTAGCTAAGAATATAAGTATTAGCTATAGATAATATATTTAATTTTAATTAATTATCTAATAGAGATTAAGAGTTTTAATATTAATCTAATTATTAAAAATATACTTAAAGAACTCTATTTTTAATATATTAATAAAAATAATTAAAAATAATATTTAATATAAAAAACTAGAAGATTAATTAAAATAGAAACTAGCTTTTAAGTATATTATAAAATCTTTTTATATCTAATAATTTATTAATCTAAATAGAATAAATAAATTTTTTATAAAAATCTTTAGAAAAATAGAGTTTTTAAGTTTTTATAGA